TGCCGGGTTGATGGGGGTGGGGGGGGGGCTGCTGTGGGATTTGCCGGGTTGATGGAGGGGGTGCTGCTGTGGGATTTGCCGGGTTGATGAGGGGGGGGGGGGGGGGGGGGGGGGTTGGGGGGGTGGGTGTTGGGGGGGGGGGGGGTGCTGTGGGATTTGCTGGGTTGATGTGGGAAGCTCTGATGCGTTGCTTCTCCCTGTAGGAGGAAGGCAGAACGTGGTCGTAGATACTACACCAAGCTGCTCCAGAGAGAGGGGAAACGAGTCTCCGTTAACCCACGGCCCTGCGGACATTTCTGCTGCTGCAGCTTCAAAGGATGTGAGCAGGTGAGGAGGCCACTTCTGGCTCTCGATGTCCCAGCAGAAACGGGGAGACTGACCATGGGCTTTCAGAGGCTGGCACACAATCAGGCTGAAAGAAGAGAATAGCTGTGGGCAGGTACCCAGGGAGTGGGTGTGTATCCAGTGGGCATGTCCCTGGACTGAGGGCAGGTGCCCAGGGAGTGGGCAGGAACCTGAGAGTGGGCATGTATGTGGGCTGAGGGCATGTACCCAGGTAAGGGGCTTGTACCTTGAGAGTAGGCAGGTAACTGGGCAGGTGGAGATGCTCCTGGGCAGGAATCTGGTCTGAGGGCAGCTAAGTGGGCTGACAGAGGGTACCTGGGCTGAGGGCAGCATATTTTTGTCTCCCTCGAGCTTCACTTTACCATATGATATTTTTAATTTCCAGATTTATCCTTAGGCGTTGAAGTCGAGGTATTGGAATGCTGCCTTCATGGTTTACAACCTTAGGTTGCTCCAGGTGGTCACATATTTCAGCAATGGTTTTGTCGAACGATGGTCTGGCCACAGGAATCGAGCACAGCTTACATTCTCTGATTCTAATAATGTGTCAGAATGAGTTGGAGATATGAAAATTTTCTAGTTTAGCCTTGAGCTGCATGCAGAACTCCTCTCTTCAGTCAGACTGCACCAGAGTTAAGATATTGACTTTCTTTCTTTTGGAAATTGAGCTTTGTGGTGCCTAGGTGTTGAGACGGTGTCCATCACTGAGTGAACAACTCATTTCCCCCCTACACCCCACAAAAAAAATGCAGATATCACTTAGATCTTAGAAATGACAGCACCAGCAAAGACTGGCCACGTCTCTGTTACCTCAGTGCTCTGTGATCAAGAGATGGATAGCTGTATCGAAGGACAGATAACCTGGGGAATTATTTAACTGTTGCTGAGGTAATGCTACTATTGTTTCCAGCAGTGGATTACTGGGTAAACAAATACTTCTGAACGATTCCTGTGAAATGACTTACGCTGACAGGCATGATTAAATGGATTAAAGCCCCTTTGTACTTGTCTAACAGGCCTCCTCTGCGTTTTTTTTATTCATTTGTAGGATGTGGGCATCGCTGGCTGGACCAGCATTTCTTGCCCATCCCTAGTTGCCCCTTGAGAAGGTGGGGGTGAGCTGCCTTCTTGAACCGCTGCAGTCCTCCTGCTGTGGGTTGACCCACAATGCTATTAGCTGGTGGTGTATCACGAAGCTCTCGTTCTGTTCTCACAGGTGGATGCAGTGGAGTATTACACTAAACTGGAGGATGAAATGATGAGTGAGTACAGTCGGGAAAAGGAGAGCTTAGACAAGAAATCACTCGGACTGGCCTTTGTTACCTTTCAGGATGAAGCCATGGCAACACTGTAAGTTTAGACCCTAAATGGGCGAAACTCTGCTATGTTTTAAAGGATTTGTTGGGAGTTCCGCTGTGCGAACATAACATGATGTGCAAACCTCTGTATTCCATAGAATTACATAAAGTCTACAGCACAGAAACAGGCCCACTGCTTCTAATCTACACTCACCTCCCCCACACCTCTTTGTGTCACCCTACTGGCCAGAATAACCTTCTGTCGCTTTCTCCCTTGTCTGTTTATCTAGCTTCCCCCTAAGTGGCGACAAAAAAATTGTTAACTATGAATATGCAAACTTAAGCTGTACTTCGTTTAAACCTAAACATGCACGTATTTATTCACAAGCAGGATGGACAAGACAGATGAGGTATACTGTAATGCAGCAATTTTGTTGGTGGAAGATACGGGCAATGAGGGAATCAAAATGTTCATAGCATGAGGGGAAATGAGGTGACTTTCCCATAGTTTATTAATTTTTGGTGATGATACCACATTGATGACTGTGCTGATCCTTAATTCTGTGGCTGGACTGTTGGACCTCGGTCTTGTTTTGAGTTACAAGTTTTTTTTCTTCTTTCAGAGCTGGTTTTCTTCCACCCACAGAATGAGAGAGGGCGATCTGGCTCACTCGTAGTCTTTTGAGATTTGAGGTCAATTGCTCTCTCTCATCTCAGTTCTGTGACACACTGTACCTTCTAACCAATCCAAAAGCTGTTGCTGGGAAGGTTTTATTTGAACTCTCAGACACCTGGTGTCAACTTGTTTCATAAAAAAGCATCAAATATGGATTTGTTAAAAAAAAAGTTGTGTTTGTATAACCAATAGGTGATGATATAGTTCCTTTTGTCTTGTTTTTTTTAAAAAAATCTTTGTGACAAACATTAAACCAGCCAATTTCCAGTTTATATTTCAAATATGTACATTCCCAACATTGTTTATCATAGGTCTTTCCAAATTGTCTTCTAGCTTTTTGAAAGAATTTCCTTTGTGAAATAAACTCTTGATGTTCTTTTGTTAAAAGTACACTGGCAGCCTATTAAGACCATAAGACATAGGAGCAGAAAATAGGCCATTCGGCCCATCGAGTCTGCTCCACCATTCAATCATGGCTGATAAGTTCCTCAACCTCATTCTCCCGCTTTCTCCCTGTAACCCTTGATCCCCTTGATAATCAAGAACCTATCTATCTCAGTCTTAAACGTACTCAATGACCTGGCCTCCACAGCCTTCTGTAGCAGTGAATTCCATAGATTCACCACTCTCTGGCTGAAGAAGTTTCTCCTTATCTCCGTTCTAAAAGGTCTTCTCTTTACTCTAAGGCTGTGCCCTCGTGTCCTAGTCTCTCCTACCAATAGAAGCATCTTGCCAACATCCACTCTGTCCAAGCCATTCAGTATTCTGAAAGTTTCAATTAGATTCCCCCTCATCCTTCTAAACTCCAATGAGTATAGTCCCAGAGTCCTCAAACATTCCTCATATGTTAAGCTTTCCATTCCTGGGACCATTCTCGTGAACCTCCTCTGAACTTGCTCCAGGGCCAGTACATCCTTCCTGAGATATAGGGCCCAAAACTGCACACAATACTCCAAATGTGGCCTGACCAGAGCCTTATAAAGCCTCAGGAGTACATCCCTGCTTTTATATTCAAGTCCTCAAAATAAATGCCAATGTTGCGTTTGCCTTCCTGGTTACTGACTCAACCTGCAAGTTTACCTTGAGAGAATCCTGGATTAGAACTCTCACATCTCTTTGCACTTCAGACTTTGGAATTTTCTCCCCATTTAGAAAATAATGTTATGAATATGTTCAGTGATTGACCACCATGTATTGTGAAGAGGTCAGCTTCGCAATACCGCCCCTCCCCCCCAAAAACCTGGTCCATTACTAAACAATAAGAGCTTTGTAGTAATGTTGTGTCACTCTGAATGGATCTCGTGGGGAGATTTGCAGCTCTCAATGCAGCACTTTCTCCAGGAGAAGCATTGAAGAACAGTATTATTTAAAGGGAGAAAAACTGCAGAAAGCTGCAACACCAAGGGACTTGGGGGTACGTGTGCATGAAACTCAGAAAGCTAGCACACAGGGGCAGTAGGTAATCAGGAAGGCTAATGGAATGTTGGCCCTTATTTCAAGGGGGTTGAAGTAAATGAGTAGGTACATCTTACTGCAACTGTACAAGATGCTGCTGTGACCACATCTGGAGTACTGTGAGCAGTTTTGGTTCCCTTGGAGGCATTTCAGGGAAGGTGCATTCGGATTATTCCTAGTATGGAGGGATTGTCTTATGAGCAAAGACTAAACAGACTGGGACCCTCGTCACTGGAGTTTAGAAGAATGAAAGGTGATCTCATTGAAACATATAGGATTCTTAAGGGGTTTGACAGGGTAAATGCTGAGAGGGTGTTTTCCCTCATGGGAGAGTCTAGGACCAGAGGGGCATAGTCACAGAGTAAAGGGGCACTAATGCAAGGCTGAGATGAGGAGGATTGCTCAGAGGGTTGAGAGTCCTTGGAACTCCTTGCACAGAGAGCTATGGGGCAGAGTCCTTGTGCATATTTAAGGCTGAGATAGATAGATTCTTGATCAGTTGGGGGATCAAAAGTTACTGGGAAAAGGAAGGGAAGTGGACATGAGGAATATCGGATTAGCCATGATCCTATTGAATGGTAGAGCAGGCTCGAGGGGCCAAATAGCCTACTCCTGTTCCTATTTCTTATGGTCTTAACAGGTGCTTTCTACCAGGCATAGTGACTGAGGTGAATAGTTTCAATGCTTTCGAAAACAAGACGAGTACGCGAGAGAAACGGTGAAATGAAGATTGGATTGAGTGTGGGCTCCTTTGGGAGCATGCTTGCTTCTCCATCACAAGGTTCTGGGTCCACGTTACATCCAGGACTAGGGCACACAGTGCAGGCTGACCTTCCAGTGTAGTTACTGAAGAAGTGGGCCAGTGGGCTAGGGCTGGTGTCTGGATGAGATGTTAAGCTGAGATCCTGCCCGGCTTGGTCATCCGGATGTAAAGAGCAATCTCCTGGCCTGATCTGAAAGAAGATGAGCAGAGTTATCCTGGTGTCTCGGATAGTATTTATTCATTTCAGTCAGCATTGCGATACAGCAGATTAAATAGTCATCTCACAGTACTGTTTGCAGGAGCTTCCTGTGATCATGGTTCCCATGTTAAGCCACTTACAGCATTTCGAAAGGCATTTCGAAAGTTGTCTGCTCATTGTGAAACAGCTTCTATGTGAGTTGAAGCCTCCCTTTCCTGAAAGGGTGAGCTGAGGTAGCTGGAGATGTTTGGAGTATAAACACCAGCAGAAACACAGTTAGGAAGCACAGGCCATAGTGCTGTCCCTGCTGTAGACCCTCAACCCCAGTCTTGGTCCTCAATGCACCCCTATGTCATGGGCCCTGAATACCAGTATAGACTACAGGGCAGAGCTACCTCTGCTGCAAATCTAATGCGATTGTGTGTAACATAAGAAATGCCTGTTTTGTTTCTTCAGTGTCCTGAGAGATTTCAACACCTTCAGGTTCAAGGGCTGCAAGTGTCGGGGGGAAATGCGGTCTTCCTGTTACAGCCAGAACCTCGGAGTTTCCAGGTGGAATGTGGCCTACGCACCAGATCCCAAGAATATTTACTGGTAACGTACAGCAACTCTGAAACATTCTGGTTCTCCTTCTACCATCACCACCCCTCCACCCCCCTCTCCAAACCAAGATTTCACCCCAGGTTTCTCACATGGTGCAGCACTGGACGCCATTTGGCCCATCGGGTCTGTGCCAGCTCCTCTGGTCACCATATTACAGGAAGGATGTGGAGGCTTTGGAGAGGGTGCAGAAGAGGTTTAACAGGATGCTGCCTGGATTAGAGGGTACGAGCTATAAGGAGAGGCTAGAAAAAACTTGGATTGCTTTCGCTGGAGGAGGGGGCGACCTGATAGACGTATATAAAACTGAGAGACATGGATAGGTTGGCTGGTCAGACTCTTTTTTTTTCTCAGAGTGGAAATGCCAAATATTTAAGGGGCATAGGTTTAAGGTGAGAGGGGAAAGTTTAAAGGAGAAAATCTTTTTCACAGAAGGTGAAAGGTGCCTGGAACGTGCTGTCAGGGGAGGTGGTAGAAGCAGAAATTTTAGCACTGTTTAAGAGGCACTTAGACAGACACATGAACATGTAGGGAATAGAGGGATATGGACAACATGCAGGCAGATAGGATTAGTTTAGAATGGCATCATGGTCAACACAGATATGTTGGGCCGAAAGGCCTGTTCCTATGTTGTACTGTTCTATGATCTGCCCTTTCAGCATTTGTCCTGTCAAATCCCTACAGATTTTTATGTGTCTCAATTAGATTGCTAATTTTCTAAAGCCCAATGGATACAACCTGCTCACCCTTTCCTCATACGATAAATCCCCCAACAGCATGGTGATTATTTGTGAGAAGCTTCTCTGAACTACTTCTAATGAGCTTATAGTATATAGCTGTTAATGGGGACTGTTTGTGACTAACAACAGGGGGTGTGTAATAGCAGGCTATGTGGTAACAAGGCCTGGTGGGGGGGGGGGGGGAGGGGGGCTGGGACATGGGACAGTTTAGGCTCTAAAATTACTGAACTCGATATTGAGTCCGGAGGGCTGTAGGGTCCCCAAGCGGAAAATGATATGTTGTTCCTCCAGCTTGCGTTGGGCTTCACTGGAATACTGCAGCAAGGCAGAGATAGAGATGTTGGCCAGGGAGCAAGGTGGTGCATTGAAGTGGCAGGCAACAGGTAGTTCAGGGTCTTTTTGCGAGCAGAACGCAGATGTTCTGCGAAACGGTCACCCAGTCTACATTTCGTTTCCCCAGTGTAGAGGAGACCACATTGTGTGACCAACGAATGCAGTAGACTAGATTCTGGGAAGTGCAGGTGAAGTGTTGCTTCACCTGGAAGGTATGTTTGGGTTCTTGGATACTGGGGAGGGAGGAGGTAAATGGGCAGGTGTTGCACGTTTGCCGGTTGCAGGGGAAGGTGCCGTAGGGCTGTGGGGGGGGTGCTCAGAGTGGAGGAAGTGTGGACCAGGGTGTCCTGGAAGGAACGGTCCCAGCGGAAGGCGGACAAGGGAGGGGAGGGGACCATGTGTCTGGTGGTGGCATCTCGCTGGAGGTGGTGGAAATGGCTTCTGATGATCTTCTGGATGTGGATGCTGGTGGGATGGTAGGTAAGGACAAGGGGAACCTGATCCCTGTTGTGGGACGGTAGAGAGGGAGTGAGGGCAGAAGTGCAGGAGATGGGTTGGACCTGGTTGAGGGCTGGAAAAGGACTGGAACAAGGAATGTTCCATGTACCCCATGAAGAGACAGGATAACTAGGGCCCATGCAGGTACCCATGGCAACCCCTCTGACCTGGAGAAAATGAGAGGAGTTAAAAGAGAAGTTGTTGAGGGTGAGGACGAGCTTGGTCAGGCGGAGGAGGGTGGTGGTGGGTGGGGATGGTTCAGGTCTTTGCTTGAGGAAGAAGCAGAGAGCCCTGAGACCATCCTTATGGGGGGGTGGACATCCATGGTAAAGAGGAGGTAGCTAGAGTCTGCAAACTGGAAATTCTGAAACTGGTGTAAAGCGTCAGAGGAATTATGGATGTACATGGGCAGGGACTGGACCAGGGGAGAAAAGACCAAGTCAAGGTAGGAAGAGATGAGTTCTGTGGGGCAGGAGCAGACTGAAACAATGGGTCTGCCTGGACAGTCCCGGTTGTGAATTTTTGGAAGGAGGTGGAAGCGAGCTGTGCGGGGCAGGGGGACTATCAGCTTGGAAGCAAGTGGGTGGAGATCACCAGATGAAATGAGGTCAGTTTCTGTAGTTGATATAACAGCCTGAAGTGCCACAGTGGGGTCATAGTCCAGGAGGAGATATCTGAGAGCTGGCACTCAGCCTCTGCAATGTAGGGGTCAGTACACCAGACTACGACAGGCTTAATAACAAAGTCACGGTTGGATCTAAGTGCACAGAGTGCAATCAGTTCAGAGGGAGACAGATTGGATTGAGGGGGGCAGAGATATCACATCAACAGTTCTCAATGAGCAGATCGAGTGCAGGTAAAGAAGGAAGGGTCCAGGTGGAGGGAGTGTGGTGGAGCTGTGCGAAGGAGTCTGTGGGATGGGGAGAGGACCCTTGTCCAAAGAGTCAACATATTGATGCAAGCTTTCCTTAATTAAGCTGCATTGTCCCAATAAATCAATTTTGACTCAAATTATTGTTTCCCCTCTACCGAGTTTACTGAGCCTGTAGTTGCTGACCTTATCTTCAAATTTTTTTTGAGCAAGGGTGTAACATTTGCAGTTCTCCAGTACTACGACACCACCCGCTGAGTTTAAGGAATGTTAGTGAAGTATGACCAGTGCTTCTGCAGTTTCTACTATCACTTCCCTCAGTATATTTGGATGTATCTCACCCAGTCCTGGTGTCTTGTCCAATTCAAGTACAGTATCCAATGCTTCCCTCCTAATTCCAAGCTCCTGAAGTGGTGGAATTATCTCTGTCCTCCCAGTGACCAGCATAGCATTTGCTTCCTTTGTACAACAGAAGCAAAGTATTAATTTAATACCTCAGACATGTCCTCTACCTCCATGTATAATTCCCCATTATGTTCCTTAATTGACCCATTCCTCCTCTTGCGCCCTTTTTACTACTTATAGTCCTACAGAAGACTTTTGAATTGCCTTTTATGTTAGCTGCCTGTCTTTTCTCATACTCTATCTTTGCTTCTGTTGTCAGCTTTTACAATTCCCTTCGGAACCTTCTACATTCTGAAAAACAAAATCCGTTCCTCATGTCGCTTATGCTTCCTCGCCAGTTCCTTTGACATACGGCTGTTGACCCCTGAGTATCAGAAAAGTTCTGTTTATCCAAAAGTCATTGGAAGTGGTGGCTTAGCTAATAGATTATGTGAGTGGATGAATGATCCAGAGTTTAAATCCTGCCCTGTTAATGAGGTGTCTACCATTCAATTGTGGGATTGTGAGCTTGAAGTGTTGCCAGGCGATTATAGGTGGAGCTGAACAAGGAGAAGCTTGTTGTGTTGATTTGGAGAGAGCCATTGGTGAGATGGATGGAGGGGAAACGGGAGGCAGTGTAGATTTTGGAGGGGTAGGGATATTGGCTGGTGATTGCTAGCTTTTGACATTGTCCTTTCTCTTGTCCTCTGACAGGGAGAACATCTCCATCCAGGGAATTCACTGGTGGGGCCGTTGCATCATAGTGAACTTCCTCCTGTTTATTTTGCTGTTCTTCCTCACCACTCCATCCATCATGCTGTCTACCATGGACAAGTTCAACGTCACCCAACCCATCTATTACCTCAACGTAAGTCTGTTCTTCTCTCTCTCGTTTCTTCCTCATCTAGTTTGGCCCTTCCTCCTGCAGGAGACACTGCATTCTATGGGCGTGTAAGAGCAGATACTGGCTGCTGATGAGGGTGTTAGGACTGAGTCCCATGCGGTCTGCCTTATGATTGCTTTTGAGCTGGGATCCCGGAGAAAGTGGAAATCCCGCTGACTATTCCCCGTCCTGACCTTTCCAGCTATGTTTCATTGTTAAAGGTCAGATATTCCTTCTCGGGCTGAGGATTGAACCCGAGTTCCACCTACACTGTAGGAGGCAGTGCCACAATGAGCCATCTGCAGGAGCTAACAGCTTCCCTTTGTACCAACCAGCCTGAAGCTGTGAACACCAGAATCCCACTCCTTTATCTTCAACTCATAGAGTCCTATGGCACGGAGACAGACCCTTCGGCCCAACATGTCTATGCTGACCAGGTTACCCAAACGAAACTAGTCCCACTTGCCTGCATTTGGCCCGTATCCCTCTAAACCTTTCCTGTTCGTGTACCTGTTCAAAAGTCTTTTAAATGTTGTAACTGTCTCTGCATTTAACTCTGGCAGCTCATCTACATTAGTGTACCCTCTGTATGGAACAAGTTGCCCCCTCAGGTGCCTTTTAAATTTTCCTCCTCTCACCTTAAAAATATGCCCCTTAGTTTTTAACTCCCCTTCCCGGGGGGAAGACCTGGGTGATCCACCTTATCTGCTGCTCATGGTTTTATAAACCTCCATAAGGTTATTCCTCCAGCTCCTATGCTCCAGAGAAAAAAGTCCCAGCCTATCCAACCTATCCTTATAACTCAAACCCTCCAGATCAGGCAACACCCTGGTAAATCTTTTCTGAACCATGTCCAATTTCATAATATCTTTCCTACAGCAGGGTGACCAGAACTGGACACAGTACTCTAGTTATATTATATTATTGGCCTCACCAATGTCCTGTACAACCTTGACATGATGTCCCAGCTCCTATACTCAAATGTCTGAGCAATGAAGGCAAGCGTGCTAAATGCCTCCTTAACCATCCGATCTATATGTGACACAAACTTCAACGAATTATGTATCTGAACCCCTAATTCTCTCTGTTCGACAACACTACCTAGGACAGTACCATTAACTGTATAAGTCCTGCCCTTGTTTGTTTTACCAAAACGCAACCAATCATCCTCACGTTTATCCAAATTAAATTCCATCTGCCACTCCTCAGCCCATTGACCCAAATGATCAAGATCCCTTGGTAATCTTAGATAACATTCTTCACTGTCTACTATACCACCAATTTTGGTGTCATCTGCAAACTTACTAACAATTCCTCCTAAATTCTCATCCAAATCATTGATATAAATGACAAACAAAAATGGACCCAGCAATGATCCCTGTGGAACACTGCTCCAGTCCAAAAAACGACCCTTCACCACCAGTCTCTGTTTCCTATCGTCTTACCAATTTTGTATCCAACTGCCAAACTCTTCCTGCATCTCATGTGATCTAACTTTACTAAACAGTCTACCATGCGTAACTCTGTCAAAGGCTTTACTAAAGTTCATGAACACATAGCCTCCTTTAACCACCCACTCAATCCTTTGTTGTTATGAAACTCCAGAGGTGAGGTGAGAGTGACAGCTCTTGGCATCAAGGCTGCATTCGCCTGAGTGTGGCATCAAGCAGCCCTAACAAAACTGGAATCAACGGGTATCGGGGGAAAACTTTCTGGTGGTTGGAGTCATACCTGACACATAGGAATATGTTGTAGTTGTTGGAGGTCAATCATCTCAGCTCTAGGCCATCTGTGCAGGAGCTCTTCAGGGTAGTGTCCTAGGCCCACCCATCTTCAGCTGCTTCATCCATGACCTTCCTTTCATCATAAGGTCAGAATTGAGGATATTCGCTTGATGATTGCACAACGTTCAGTACCATTGGCAACTCCTCAGATACTGAAGCAGTCCATGTTCAAATGCAACGAGATCTGACCATATGCAGGCTTGGGCTGACGAGTGGCAAGTAACATTCGTATCACATCAATGCCAGGCTATGACCATCTCTAATAAGACAGAGTTTAACACTCCTTGACAAATCCATAATTGAATCCCCTACAAACAACATCCTGGGGGCTACCATTGACCAGAAACTCAGCTGATCTCACCACATTAACACAGCGGCTATAAGAGCAGATCAGAAGCTAGGAATACTGTGGCGAGTAACTCACCTCCTGACTCTCCAAAGCCTGTCTGCCATCTACAAGGCACAAGTCAGGAGTGTGACGGAATACTCCCCACTTGCCTGGATGAGTACAGCCCCAACAACACTCCAGAAGCTTGACACCATTCAGGACAAAGCAGCCGCTTGATTGGCACCACATCCACAAGCATTCACTCCCTCCACCACCGACATTCAGTAGCAGTAGTGTGTACTATCTACAAGATGCACTGCAGAAATTCACCAAAGATCCTCAGGCAGCACCTTCCAAACCCATGAACACGTCCATCTAGAAGGACAAGGGCAGCAGCTACATGGGACATCGCCCCCTGCAAGTTCCTCTCCAAGCCACTCACCATCCTCACTTGGAAATATATCGCTGTTCCCTCACTGTCGCTGGGTAACAATCCTGGAATTCCCTCTCCAAGGGCATTGTGAGTCTACCCTACAGCACATGGGCTGCAGCGGTTCAAGAAGGCAGCTCACCACCACCTTCCCAAGGGCAATTTAGGATGAGCAAGAAATGATGGCCCTGCCAGAAACGCCCACGTCCCATGAAAGAATAAAAACAACCACCCAAACCAAACCAAATGAGTTTATAATTTGATAGCCCACTTTATGGCAATGGGATAAATGATCACCTACATGTGACACCAGTGTGTGATTGTAATGAGGTCAGCCAGTGGGATCTCATAGAATATGAGTTCCCTGGTTGGGGATGTTAATCTGATTTAAGGAACCCTGGCTGACAGATATAAACAGGAGTGTTAGGAGTTCAGTTCACTCTGTGAAGCTGGCTCTGAGAAAGCTGGATCAGTGTCACATGTAAATAAAGAGTGACTTGGTGACGATATATTAGCCTCTGTAGAGTTATTTCAACCGGGCTGTGTCTAATCTTTTTGAATTCACAAGAAGGGCCAAGCATTCAGAGCAGGAGGAGACCATTCAGCCCCTTGTGTGTGACCTGCCATTGAATACCATCATGGCTGATCTGAATGTGGTGTCCACTTCACTTCCCTGTCCACTGTCAGGGGAGGCAATGGCCTAGACTATTAATCCAGAGACCTGGATAACATTCTGGGGACCTGCGTTCGAATCCTGCCATGGCAGATGGTGGAATTTGAATTCAATAAAATATCTGGAATTAAGAATCTAATGATGACCATGAATCCATTGCCAATTGTCGGGAAAAACCCATCTGGTTCATTAATTTCCCCTTTAGGGAAAGAAACATCTTTACCTGGTCTGTCCTACATGTGACTCCAGACCCACAGCAATGTGGTTGACTCTCAACTTCCCTATGGGCAATTAGGGATGGACAATAAATGCTGCCTAGCCAGCGACACCCTCATCCCATGAATGAATAAAGGGACTCCTGAGGCTCGAAGCTTGCTATGTGTAGTGAGACATGAGACAGATAGAGCACATGGCCATGTCGGATGGCAGGCTGTTCCTGGCGCAGGTTGGTGGAATGTCAGTGTAGACTGTAACCCGAGGTGCACCCAGACTCTCTGGCTCTTGCCTTCTGTTGTTGGTGTTCTGGAAAGATTTCCAGGTTGCCTGGCAATGGCCACACTTTCTGTGGATGTGGCATTCTGGAGTGGGACTGGAACCCAGAGTTTCTGGCTCTGAGGCACAGCCTACAGGATTTCCTGTTTATATCACGTCAAACAACAGTTACCTTCTCATTGCCTTTGATACAGGACCCTGTCATCAGCCAGTTCTTTCCCACCCTCCTGCTGTGGGCGTTCAGTGCTCTGCTCCCAACCATTGTCTACTACTCAACCATTTTTGAAGGCCACTGGACAAGGTAGGAAAGATGTACTCATACATGAATATTTGTAAGAATATTGTAAGGCTCCTTGCTGTGCGTAGGTTGACCACAGTACAAGTGGTCTTGGAAAGACAGGGAAGAAACAGTACACTTTGGCTTTCAAAACAGGGGCTTCTGTTTTGAAACTGATCCTTGTTTAATGAACTTTGGGTGTCTGAGGAGGCTCTGTCGAGCTCACTGAGGCAATGGGAGCCATCCCAGCAGACTGGTGCCTAGCTTTTGCTTGTGATCACCTGTCTGTCCCAGCCACAAACAGTTCCAGCTGTGATTCGAAGGAAATTTGGTGAATTGCTGCTTCAAAAGTTTGACTTTTCATCCAGGAGAAGAACCACCTTCTGAGGTCTAACTTTGACCCAGCCTCCTATAACCGCTGATCCTTTCTAACCGGAAAAAATTGTTAACTCATCATGCCTGTCTACTCTTCTTGTCATCTCATAAGTCCACTGTGTAGCCTGCACACAATCAGCTACATATGTACTCCTCAGTTATAGGGTCCCTGTGACTCTGGATTACCCGCCCTCTCATTACAGACAGAGACGTGAAACTGACCTGATTCAAAACATTCCTCTGAAATTCCACCCAAATCCCCTAAAGATGAATCGGTTACTATCCACAATATCATCCACCTTGTGCCGTGCCCTTGCAGTTTTCATTCGGAAAATCAGTGAGGCATGGAAAGGAATTGATTCTCACTGCACTGAGTGTTTCCCACAATTGACCTCAGTCCTTCAGCTGAGAAGGATTGCGCGGTGGCTCAGTGGTTAGCACTGTTGTCTCATAGCGCCAGGGACCTGGGTTCGATTCCACCCTCGGGCGACTGTCTGTGTGGAGTTTGCACGTTTGCCCTGTGTCTGTGTGGGTTTCCTCCGGGTGCTCCAGTTTCCTCCCACAGTCCAAAGATGTGCAGACTAGGTGGATTGGCCATGCTAAATTCCCCATAGTGTTCAGGGATGTGTAGGTTAGGTCTGTTAGCCATGGGAAATGCATGGTTACCGAGAAAGGGGATGGGTCTGGGTGGGATGCTCTTTGGAGGATTGGTGTGGACTTGTTGGGCCGAGTAGCCTCTAGGGATTCTATGAGAAAGGCAGCCCTTGCAATCTTTGACCTGTTTGGCCGAAGAACCAATCCCAAATTGATTAATGACACAGTGATGTTATATTCTATAGACGTGCTGCCCATAACGAGTGTTTTAACAATGTTTGGGAATACAGGTTTTTGTTTTACAGAGCTGGTGGTCTTTGTGCCACACCTTAGCAACCACTTCCCTCCTGGGTGAGGCTGGCAGTGGGACGGGCAGATATGGTGGCTGCACTCGGTAACTACTTCCTTACTCTTTGCAGCTACCCACCTGTAAGGCTGGCACTGCTCTTGTAGAACCCTTGAAAAGGCCCCAGGCGTCTGCAGAACCTGTCCCTTAAACAGTCCACCTGCAGCTTGGAACTTCAATAAAAGCTGACTTGACGTTGACCACTGTAACTAGATAACACAAGATTAGTTCAAAGTCACTTTTCCTTGCAGTGCTGTGTCGGTGCGGAAAACCACCACCTTCTCCGTTGCAATTAGAATTAGAATTAGGCTTATTGCCACGTGTACTCAAGTTCAGGAGTACAGTGAAAAGTTTACAATGTCGCTCCACATGGCACCATCTTCAGTACAAAATACCTAGATACAAATCTTAGATCCAAAATGGGGAAATAAAAAAAAGGTGTATTACCTTACAGTTAAACACAGTAAAAGGTTAAAAAAAATAAATCAGGTTAAAAAGGTAAACATTACAGTCTTTCTATAAAGGCCCTGTAGTAGATCAGCGCAGGGGGCTTTCGTATGTGCTCTGACTGGGCTTGCAAGGCACTGACTTCCCGAACAGACAATAAATGCTGACCCAGCCAGCCATACCCACATCCCCTGAACGAGTTTTAAAAAATATAAGAAGATCAAGTTTTTTTTGTACAGATTTATAAAGTCTTGGGTGATTGTCTGTGTGGAGTTTGCACTCCTTGTGTCAGCTCCTGTTTCCTCCCACAGTCCAAAGATGTGCAGGTCAGGCCAGCCCCTGCTAAATTGCCCATAGTGTCTAGGGATGTGCAGGTTGGGTGGATTAGCCATGGGACATGCAGGGTTACAGGGATAGGATGGGGTTGGGTCTGTGTGGCGAAACTCTTCGGAGGGGCGGTGTGGACTTGATGGGCAGAATGGCTTGCTTCCACATTGTAGGAATTCTGTGGTTCTATTGGTGACTGAATACATGAAATCAGAGGTTAGCATCTTTAATTAAGTAATTAGGAAAGCTAATAGAAATAAAAGTATTCACATTTATTGTCAGGGGAATTAAATACAAAAGTAGGGAGGTTATGCTACAGTTTTATAAGGGATTGATAAGAACACATCTGGAGTACTGTGCACAGTATTGATCCTCCTCATTTAACGAAGGATGTGTATACATTGGATGCAGTTCAGAGAAGGTATACCAGACAAATGCCTGGAATGGGGGCTAGGAGAGGGGCAGGTTGTGTCATGAAGAAAGGTTGGACAGGCTTAGCTTGCTTCTGCTGGAGTTTAGAAAGGGAAGTGGGTACTTAATTGAAACACAAAAATCCTGAGGGGTCATGGCAGTGTCGATGTGGAGAAAATGTTTCCTCTTATCATTTAGAACTAATGGCTACTGGTTAAAAATCTGGGGTCCCCCATTTCGGATGGAGATGAGGTGAATTTCTTTTCCCTGAAGGGTTGAGGGTCTGTGGAGCTCTCTTCCTGAAAAGGTGGTGAAAGCAAAGTACTTTTAAGTCTGAGGTCGATTCTTGCTAAGCGATCAGTTGAAGGTTATTGAGGGCAGGCAGGAATGCAGATTTAAGGTTACAATAAGATCAGCCACGATCTCACGGGATGGTGGAGCAGGTTCAAGAGGCTGAATGGCCTACTCCCGCCCCTGACGTCTATGTTCACATGACACCACGGGACTTCATTTTAGCACAACCAGAACATTTGGAGCTCCCTAAACCGCCGATGTTAATCCTTTGGGAAAACAAACATGATCAAGTTTGCTTCCTGAAGCTGTGAATGTTCACCGCTCCCTGGTAAGACTGTGGGCCTGGCCAAGAGATAGGCAGCTTTTCAGTTGCTGAAATTATCCACTCATCTTTTTTTCGAAATTCAGGTCTTCAGAAAACCGTGTCACAATGCACAAACTCTACAGCTTCCTCATTATTATGGTGCTGATACTGCCATCCCTGGGCCTCACTAGGTAAGAACTTTATTAACTCTGAACCAAAGGCAACTCATTGTTAAAACATTATTTTTTGGGATATGTGCAGTGCTGAAAGTCTGGTGTTCACTATCTTTCCTGAGTGAATTGATACAGCTCAATGGCCACCAGAGGGCAATAAGGAGTAGTTGTGGGACTATAGTTGCAGGTAGAAAGTGACCAGGTAAGGACAAGCATCCCATCTGACTTCTCAGTTTTTATACACAGAGCTTTTCGTCAATGTCTAGCATGCACAGGTCTGTTCTGGGTTGCTGTTTAACCACAGAAGCTCGTAGTTTAGAGAAGATACTGGTAATGGAGGGAGTGTTTTCATTCTCAAAGGACATATGCAACCAGTTATGATTTTACCACAGATTTGATAGATTTATGCTTATTTTTACTGCCACCTTTTCAAAGAAAACTTAAGTTCACATTCAAATCCTGTGTTCCGAGTCTGTCTACTAAGTAATAGTTTATTTTATGAAGTATGTTGGGTTTTTGAAGATTGTGAAATAGAAGTAGACAAGTGGAACTTTATTCCTTTATCAATAAATGTCAGAGCATAAAAGGACGGAACTATACAACTGTATAAGGCATTAGTGAGACCGCAGCTGGGGTGCTGCATACAGTTTTTGGTGTCCTTACTTGAGGAGAGATGTAGTTACATTGGAAGTAGTTCAGAACAGGTTCATGAGATTGATTCTGGAAGTGAAGGGATTATTTAACGAGGAGAGATTGACAGTTTAGGCCTATACTCTGTAGAGTTTAGAAGAATGAGAGGAGATCTAATTGAGATGCTAAATGGGATTGACAAAGTGGACATTGGAGAGGATGTTCTCTCATGTGGGGCAATCTAGAATGAGAAGTTATAGTTTTCAGTTAAGGGGTAGCAGATTTTAAACAGAGATGAGAAGGAATTACTTCTCTCAAAGGTTCATGAATCTGTGGAATTCACTCCCCCAGTGGATGCTGGGACATGGAGTAAATTTCAGGAGGAGATGGACAGTTTTTAATTAGTAATGGGTTGAAGGGTTAGGGAGACCGAGTAGGAATGTGGGGTTAAGGCTGAGATGAGATCGGCAATGATCTTATTAAATGGTGGGGTAGGCTCGAAGGGCTGAATGGCCTACTCCTGCTGCTAGTTCTTATGTAAAGGCACAAAGAAATGCATAAACAAATAAAAGATACATTGGAAGAGATTGTAAAACAAGAGTAAACATGACTCCCTTAAAGGCAGAAAAGTGCAATGGAAAACGGGAAATGGTAGCATCTTTAAATAAATGTTGTGTGTCTGCCTTCATGGTAGAAAGCAAAATGAAACATTACGGAAGTAATGGGGGAATTAAAGATTGAGTGTAAATGAGGAACTTATGGATATTAATAGTCATTAAGAAACTGGATTGGAGAAATAAATGGGACTAAAAACCAACAGATTTTTGGGATGTGGTGGCTGGTATCCCAGGGGTTTTAAAAGCTGTGGTGGAATGGGTTGATTGTAATTTTCTAAGTCTTGCCTTGTTCCAAATTGGTCTCTGTGGATGGGAAGGTAGAAATAAATGACTATTTAGGAAAGGAGGGAGGGGGGTAAACTGAGAACTATAGGCCAGTTACTCTGATGTGATTAGTAGGGAAAATACTCAAATAAAATTATTAGGGTTGGGGCATTTAGAAAGTCACCTGATTGTGGTGCAGAGTCAGTATGGAGCAGGAAAGGGAAACCATGTTGAGGTTGGTTGGCTCGCCGAGCTGGTTTGTTGTTCCACAGACGTTTCGTTACCGTGCTTGGTAACGTCCTCGGTGCAGCCTCTGATGAAGCGTCGGTGTGTACTCATCTCAATCCACATGGACAAGGAGAACCACGACTTCGACTGGGACAACACCAAGATCCTGGGACAGGCTAGGCAGAGACAAGCACGAGAATTCCTGGAAGCATGGAACTCCACGAAGCAGGCTATTAATAAACACATTGAACTCGACCCCGTATACATTCCACTACGGAGGAAACCCGGAAGTGCCGTATACATTCCACTACGGAGGAAACCTGGAAGTGAGGCAATCCATCGCAACGGACCCCAGAGTTTAAAAACCAGGCAGGAAAACACATCGACGCTTCATCAGAGGCTGCACCGAGGACACTACCAAACACGGTAACGAAACGTCTGCGGAACAACAAACCAGCTCGGCAGGCCAACCAACCTCAACACCCACAACCCAAGCTACAGATCTACTCCAAAACCTTAAAGGGAAACCATATTTGACAAATTTGTTAAATGCTGTTTAAGGCTGTAAATAGCTAGGTAGATAAGGGGGAGCTAATAGATGTGGACTATTTGGATTTTCAGAATTATTCAACTAAATACAAAGACAATTTTCACGTAATTTGAACTCTTGGTATTGAGGTTAGAATTAGTTTGGATTCAGGATTGGCTAACAAATATAAAACAGATAGTGGGATTGGCAAACATCATTTAGTCAGGTGGCACAAGATTCAGTGCCTGGGTATCAGTCATTTATAAACTACATCAATGATTTAGATGAGGAGGCCAAATATGCACCGCCACATGCATAGTCTCAGGTTAAACTCATCACCAATCACCTCTCTCTAATGAGACAGCAGCCCTGTGGTCTGGTAGGACTATGGCAACTTTACCTTTTAAAGATTGATAGCAAATCCCTGTCAGGAATATTGTTTGTGTGAGCATGGTTTAGATGGAATGATGGTTACCAGATTAAGACTTGGGCTGAGCTGATCATCCTGTGAGGATAGATTAAGTAGACCATGATGACAATCAGTACATTTCCAAAGAACTAACATTGATCTCATTGAAGAGGCTGGACCTCCGTTTGTATTATTGTGTCTCTGTGAAATTTTTTGGGATTTACTTTAGCCATAAGCTGTTTTATATTTGTTAAACTTCCAGAGTGGGCTTTAATTAAATCTCATATTTATGGTCTGTTACAAATTGAAGTCCTCTTGTATTGATCCTCTGAAGCCTTTAGTACCTCTGTACCATTGCTCGTCAAATGGTGTCTTAATGGAGTCGCTCCCTGTACCCTATCTGTGTTACAGTCTCGATGTCTTCTTCCGATGGCTGTTCGATAAGAGTTTCCTTGAACGAGCCAGGATTAGATTTGAGTGAGTATCCTGTCTTCGATGTCTAAGAATTTGTGATCACTCTGTAAGGGATGAATTTATGGTGAAGATGTATCAGTGTATGACGGATTGGCGTATATTGGTGATGGATATTTGTGTATTGCATGCTTAAGAAAAAGGTTTATGGGTATAAATTTATACGGGACTGAGTTAATATGTTGTAAATACATGGGATAGGTGACACACAGGCTGATGTGTGTCTGTGTATGGGCACTCTGTATATAGGATGGATGGAAAATAAACATATGGAGGTTTACGTGGGTTTATAGGTTGCGAGTTTGAAGGATGGGTGAACAGAGGGTAAATGTACTCTCAGATAGGGTTTTATGGATGGATGTGTAATGGGATCTCTTTGATACATTGTCAGTAAATGAAGAGGCTGGATAAATCATTGTCAGTTTACATAGTGGAATTAAATACCACCACCCCCACCCCATTCTCGCTCAAACCCTTTGCTCCGATAAAATCCAGCTCAGGGTGGCTCACGTGCAGTATTCCCTTCACTCACTAATTGACCTTTAAAGTTCACAGCAAACTGCCCACGATCTGCATCCCACTCTCACTGACCTGTGGCGTCAGTCACTAGCCGACTGTAGATTCTCCAGGTAACACTGACAGCCAATGGAGAACTGCCAGCCAGCTGGCTATACTACAGAATTCCTGCCTCTGGGGGTCTTCAATCTCAGGGAAGTCCTGACAATGCCCAGTGCAGTTGGGTAGTCAGGGTATGGAATACACAGCCTGGAAATGTGGTGGAAGCAAGTTCAACTGGGGTATTCAAGGACATTAGATGGTTGTTTATGGATAGTCATAGTGTGCAGGGACATGGGGACAAAGGCAGGAGATCGGCATAGATATTACTGCTCAGTGATGCCCAGTTTGGGCTCCACCAGGACCACTCAGATCTGGACCTCATTACAGCCTTGGTTCAAACAGGAACAAAAGAGTTGAATTCCAGAGGTCCAGCCCTTAGGGGAACACTAGTGTTGGGGATTATTGTTTACTATTATTGCTGAGCAGGTGCTGCTTGATAGCACTGTTTCTGATACCTTCCATCACTTTACTGATGATGGAGAGTAGACTCAGGGGACAGTAATTGGCTGGGTTGGATTTGTCCTGCTTTTTATATGCAGCACATACTTGGGCAATTTTCCACATTTCTGGGTAGATGGCAATGTTGTAACTGCACTGGAATAGCTTGACTAGGGGAGCAGCAAGTTCTGGAGCACAAGTCTTCAGCACTATTGCCGGAATGTTGTCAGGTCCCATAGCCTTTGCAGTATCCAGTGCCTCCAAGCATTTCTTGATATCAACATGGAAATGAATCAAATTGGCTGAAGTCTGGTATATGAGATGCTGGGGACCACTGGAGGAGGCTGAGACAGATCATCCATGTGGCACTTCTGGCTGAATATTACTGCAAATGCTTCAGCCTCATCTTTGGCACTGATGTGTTGGTCTCTCCCATCATTGAGGATGGGGATATTTGTGGAGCCTCCTCCTCCTCCAGTGATTTGTTTAGTTGTCCACTATTATTCACAACTGGATGTGGCAGGACTGCAGAGCTTAGATCTGATCCATTAGTTGTGGGATCCCTTAGCTCTGTCTATCGCTTGCTGCTTTCACTGTTTGGTGTGCAAGTCGTCCCATGTGGTAGCTTCATCAGGTTGACACCACATCTTCAGATATGCCTGGTGCTGCTCCTGGCATGCCCTCCTGTACTCTCCGATGAACCAAGGTTGATCCCCTGGCTTGATGGTAATGGTTGAGTGGGAGATATGCCGGGCCATGAGGGTTACAGATTGTGCAGGAATACAATTCTGCTGCTGTTGATGGCCCAGAGTGCCTCATGGATGCCCAATCTTGGAGCTGATTAAAGTCTGTCCCATTGACTGTTTGAATGTAGCTCCCTGCTAGATGCTGTCATTTTGTTTTATTTGCAGGTGCGTGTTTCTTCCTGACCAGGGTGCCTTCTTTGTGAACTATGTCATTGCATCAGCCTTTGTGGGGAACTCCATGGCTCTATTACGCCTCCCCAGCCTGCTGCTCTACTCCCTGCGGATGCTGATGGCCAAATCTGCAGCAGAAAGGAAAGTCGTCAAGCAGGTGGGTCCTGGTCTTCTCTGTGGATCTGCCAGGGATCTAGCTTCACTTCAGAAGGTTTTATGTGGCACAAAAGAAAAGCACCTGGCCTCCTCTCCCTGAGCCTTGAACCCCACTCCAATTCCAATTCCACAGCCACCAAACAGGGTGAGTCCTAGGGCTTCTTGCGTGCCCAGTTCTTTCAACTGTTCTTCAGCCTTAGTACCTGACTTGAGATGACTTCTGATGTTGTCAAAGCTTTCAGAATTTGTCATCAGCTTTCTCTGGCATTCAATTTCATTCCCCTCAAGATGTCATTTCCCTTAGGCATGTTCTCTTCCATCACTGACTTACCTGTTCAAACCTATAGCTAAACCCATAGAGACACAGTGCAAACTGACTGAAAAACAAAAGTTGCTATTCCTGTGTTATCGTTGCCAAGATCAAAGTTTGACTTTGTCATTCAGCATTTGTGGACAAGTTTTTCCTTTTTAAAAAAAAATTTATTGTATTTCCTGTCCCTGACAATACATCATTTTGTATAACAAATTACTTTGATGCGTGTTGACTTCTGCAGGTGAGTGCAATATCCAGTAACTGCACAGCAAGCTCCCAGAAAAAACAGCAATGAGATAAATGATTTAATCTAGTTTTGGTTACCTAGGTGGAAGAACTATTGAACAGGATATCTCCTTGCTCTTTTCCCCCACTATTGCCATGCACCCCGCATTGAGTCTTATTCATAGCATGCTGGGTTCCAGCAGCACCACCTATATTACACACTCAAATCTTGCCGAGTGTGCCTCCCGCCAACAAAACCAAGCCTTCACTCAAATAGATGGGAGTGAAGGTGGACCACTTTTGTTTATTCCTTTTTATATCTCCTTCCCTGTGCCCCAGGTATGCATTCTCTGCCAGTCACCCAGTACCTTCTTGAGTGAAGTTGCTAATGTATGCTGAACTGTTTGAGCTGTCAGAATTGGGTTGAGTGTGTTGAAATCCATGTCACGGTGCACCCCCGCTCCGAGATTTCCAAAGAAGCTTTTACCTGCTGCGTCTGTGCTGGGCTCTAATTCAAGAGGAAGTACATGAAATGGCACAGCAGAGGAAGAGGAAATGATGGTGTAGACCAGTCGAGCTAAATGGCCTGTTGCTCTGCTATTACCTTCAATCTAACCCCCTGCTTTACCCAGTAGTTCTTTACAAACATTATTGATGTACATCTCATTGCCTTACAGCATCAAGCATATGAGTTTGAGTTTGGAGTGAATTATGCATGGATGCTCTGTGTCTTCACGGTGGTGGTAGCTTACAGCATCACCTGTCCGACCATTGTTCCCTTTGGTAAGGATTTCTTATCTCAGTAAATCTGCTGCATAGATTATTCAGTTATCGCACTTGGCTTCCAACTGAAAGAAAGCAACAAGGAAACTTGCTGACGCTGATGTCTTTTAAATCTCGGGCAGTCCGAAAGCCTGTCACAGCCAATGCAGTAATTTTTGAAGTACAGTCCCCATTGTAATACAGGGATAAAATGACCAGGTATTTCTATTCTAGCGAAGTTGGGGGTGAGATAAATGCTATTCAGGATCATGGACAATACTCTCCTGTTCCTCTTTGGAATAGTGCCACAAGACCTTTCATGTGCACCTGTAGACAGGGAGGGATTCTGCGTAACACTTTGACAGTGCAGCACTCCCTTGGTTATGCACTGGAGGAAGAGTCACCATACCTGAAATGTTAATTGATTTCTCTCCACAGATGCTGCCAGAACCACTGAGCTTTTCCAGCAATTTCTGGGGTTTTTTTTTGTTTCTGGTTAAGAGCATCCGCAGTTCTTTTGGTTTTTGTTTAGAGAGTTCCCTGTGTTGGGCAAGAGGAGAAAACAGAAGAAACTGCCAGGTTTCCCATTCAGTCACTCACTTGGAATAATTCTGATGAAAACTCAGCACCAGACTTGTGGAGGTCTGGCTTCTGCCTAAAAAAAAAACTCACATTAATGCTAAATGCACAGAAAACTCCTTGCTCAATGCAGTACTCATCTGTACGAACAAGAAAAATCCCAAGATCAAACCTTGTTTTCAGCTGGACAGCTGTTGGAGGGATGTAGTTAACCCTCATTGACTCGGAGCAGGGTCGCTGCTTGCAGTGACGCCTACACACATCAGACAAGTGCAGATGGTTAAATAGCCTGTTGTTGAATGGGTGGAGAGCTGGGATCCTGATGTCCACAGCCTAAGCTGGAAGGAGCCAGAGTAAGCCATTATGTTCCTGAACGAGTTCCACTGCATGGGAGGCAGTACCTGAAGTTTGCCCCACTCAGTGTCTTGCACCTTCTATCATGTTTTTTCCTTTGAACCACAGGCTTGATCTACATCCTACTGAAGCACCTAGTGGATAGGTACAACTTATACTATGCCTACCTGCCTGCCAAACTTAACCGGAGGATCCACGCTGCTGCTGTGAACCAAACTCTGGCAGCCCCCATCATCTGTCTGGTCTGGCTGCTCTTCTTCTCTGTGCTCAGAGGAGGTAAGTCCATTTCCTTCCATTAACCTCTCTCATCTGGTAATCTCAACCCACTCCCCGATGATGGTGGAAAGGCTTTAGGGAGTCAGGAAGTGAGTTACTTGCTGCAGTATTCCTAGTCTCTAACTTGCTTTTGTTGTCACTGTATTTATGTGGCTAGTCCAGTTCAGTTTCTCATCAATGGTAACCTCGGATGTTGATAATGGGAGATTCAGTGATGGTAACACCATTGAACATCAAAGGGTGAGCGTTAGATTTTCTCTTATTGGAAATGGTCTTGTGTGGTGTGAATATTACATGCCATTTCCACCCAAGCCTGAAAATTGTCCAGGTCTTGTTGCATTTGGAAGTGTACTGCTCCAGTATCTGAGAAGTTGCGAATGATGAACATTGTTCCATCATCAGTGAACATCCCACTTCTGGCCTCACGTTGATGAAGCAGCTGAAGATGGTTAGTTGAACATAAACAGAACTCTTGTCACTCTACTTTCTCATTAGTTATGATCCTTCCTAGTTTTAGTGCATCTCCTCTCTCCCTGTCATATAGGACTGTCTGCAGCAACATCAATCTTCACCTTGACTGTGGTGCTGACTACCATTGCTGTCTGCATTATTTCCAGCTGCTTTGGCTACTTCAAGTACTTCACTGTCAACATGATGGTGAGTTTGCACTCTGCACTACAATTACCAATATATTGTTAGGGCAGTGGAGGAGAGGGAGAGGTTTGAGGGGCTGTTGCAATATTCCCATGGTGCTGGATTGTGTTATCGGCTTCTGGCTATGGCCAGACTGGACTGTAGTGAAAGCGGTTCCAGTCAGTGACTCAGGGCGGGTCATGAGGTGACTTCACTTTCTGGAATTCTCTGTCTGGTTGTCAGGATCACAAGCACTGGTAAAACTGCATCTCCACTATGTGCAATTATCCTTGCAGAAATGAACAGAAAGCAGAGGGTGATTACTAGAATCGACCTAATGCATTTAAGCCGGGGAGGGGTGGGGGGAGAAGAGAGACACTGGTCACTGGGCTGTGCTCCTGGTCTACTGAATGTGGACTGCAAAGTGCATCCTGTAACAATTCCCTAACACTGAGTTTAGTGGAGTGGAGAGAGATTTACAGCATGCCTCAGTGTTCATAGGGAGGCAACAACATGGCAATCATTCACTGGGGTTTTGCATTATTAGACCAATGTTGTGGGGACATGGGTTTGAATCCCACCACAGATTAAGATTATTTTGGTCATCAAATTCAAATATTTCAAAGTAAACAGTGACTACTTAACCACTGTCGATTGCTGTTAAAAACCCCTCAAGTTCACTAATGCCCCTTAAGGAAGGAAATCTGCCATCCTTACCTGAGCTGGCCTACACATGACTCAACTATATCAATGAGGTTGACTTCCAACTGCCGTCTGAAATGGTCACTCAATCCAAGGGCCATTAGAAATGGGCAATAAATGCCCACAGGCCATGAATGGGATACCAGGAATGGAGGCATCATAATGGCTCCTATCCATCCTGTCTGCAGGATTCCTAAAAGCCATAAGAGGCAGACTTGGTGTACTTTAGGCTAGGAAAATGGCAGAGTAGTGACTTGCTGCCTTCTTAACATTAGTGGTCCAGGTTCCTTGTGCTGTTTGCATACGTCCGGCAGTGAGCAGTCATATTTCTTTACTAAGACCATAGCTGCAAGTAGAATATGGCACTGATTCAAGACTTGTTCCTGGTGACGTATGACTGATTGGAATATCCATGTTTTGCTCCCCCAGGGTAAGAAATTGCCAACTGAGAAAACAGAAACAGAAACAGAAGCCACAGCCCCTGCCTGGCAATCAGAAGTAAGTAACACAAGAGTGGGTTTTAACATTGAGAAATGGGGAGGAACAGCAACATCTTCCAATAGTCAAAAGGACTATTTGTGTAGATCATGAAACCGGCATTGTCCACAAATGACATCCATGGATAGGAAAGGTTTAGAAGGATATGTGCCAAATGCTGGCAATTCATAGAATTTGTACAGTGTGAATTTAGGCCATTTGGCTCATCGAGCCCTCACTGACCTTCTAAAGATTTACAAGAGAATTTCGCACTGGTTGGAGTTAGGATTCTTGCTCTTTCAAAATATGTGTTATATATTTTAATGATCTAGATGTACAGGGCACAATTTCAAAACTTGTGAACTTTGAGAAGGATATTATAGAACTTCACAAGGATGTAGGTTAGTGGAATGTATAGACAAGTCTCAGACAATATTTAATGTGGAGAATGAAATTATTCATTTTGAAGGAATATGCAGAGACAAGATAAAGAGTACAAAAGTAAATGTGGTGCAGGAGTCCTAGGAACTAGATCTATATGAATGAACCATTGAAGGTGGCAGGACAGATTGAAAGAGCTGTTAGAGCCTTGGATGCCTTTTGCTTTATTGATAGGGGCATAGAGTACCTGTAAGAAACACTGGATCAACTTCAACTGGAGTATTGTGTCCAGTTCTGGGTGTCACATTTCAGGAAGGATATGAAGGTATTGAAGAAAATGCAGGGAAGTTTAATCAGCGGTACCAATGAAAAGGAACTTCAGTTATAGAGCCGCACAGCACAGGAACAGACCCTTCGGTCCAGCTTATCCATACCAACCAGGTTTCCCAAACTAAATTAGTCCCATGGGCCTGTGTTTAGCCCATATCCCTCAATCTTTCCTATTCATGTACCTGTCCAAATGTCTTTTGAAGTTGTAACTGTACCCGTCTCTATCATTTCCTCTAGCGGTTCATACAAACCGCCCTGCATCTGATAAAAGTTGCCCATGTCCCTTTTAAATCTTTCTCTGCTCACCTTAAAAATAAGCCCTCTCATTTTGAACTCCCCAACCCTGGGCAAAGACCATTACTATTAAGCTTGTCTACACATGATTTTATAAACCTCTTACGAGATCACCCCTCATGCTCCTACACTACAGGAAAAAAGTTCCAGCATATTTTTATAACTCGAATAGTTCATTCCTAGCAACATCCTGGTAAATCTTTTCTGAACCCTCTCCAATTTAATAACATCCTTCCCATAGCAGGATGACCAGAACTGCATTGTACTCCAGAACAGGCCTCACCAATGTCCTGTACAACCTCAACATGTTATGATGATTATGGTCACTAGTCCCAAAGTGCTTCTCCACTAACACTTCAGTAACTTGCCCTGCCTTATTTCCCAAGAGAAGATCAAGTTTTGTTCCTTCTCTAGTGGGAACATCTACAAAATTGATAAGAAAATTTTCTTGAACATATTTAACTAATTCTCTCCCCAACCAAGCCCTCGACAGTATGACTGTCCCAGTCTGTGCTTGGAAAGTTAAAATCCCCTATTAGAACCCTATTACTCTTACACATCTGAAATCTCCCTACAAATGTGCTCCTCAGTTTCCTGCTAATTGAGGGGCCTATAGTACAATCCCATCAAGGTGATCATCGCTTTATTTCTGATTTTTACCCATATAGCTTCACTGGACAAGCTCGCAGGAATATGTTAAGTACAGAAAGTTTTCCCTTATCAAAATCACCACTCCCCCTTATCCTTCCTACAGTATCTAAAGCCCGAAACATTAAGCTGTCGGTCATGTTTCTATAAAAACTCTTTCCCTCTCTCAGACACACACACAGGATAAGTTGGGACTGTTCTCCATGATGGAAGTGAAGAGGCAATTTGATAGAGGGGTTCAAAATCATGAGTTTACACTATAGGTTTCTCCTAAAATTTCCTCCCCCCCACCACATTGGTGGAAGGATTGAGAACGAGAGGGCACAGATTTAAGGTCATTGGTAAAAGCAGCACTGGTGACGAGGATAAATTTTTCCACACAATGCATGGTTAGGATGTAGACTATGATAGGGTTAGCTGAGACTGTGATGGAGGCAGGTTCAATTCAGACATTTAAAGAAGACTTGGCTTACTTCCCAAAAAAGGATGAATGTGCAGAGATGTGGAGAGGAGGCAGGGGTGTGACTGAGTAAATTGCTCCTTCAGAAACCCAGCACAGGCATGTTTAGAAAACAAAAAAACTGCAGTTGCTAGAAGTCCAAATTAAGCGGAGAGAATGGAGAAGTCAACTTTCCAGTTGCACTGAAGAGTCCACCCCTGCGACAACTTAGCACGTGGCTGATCTCACATCCGAGTGTTCAGGCATTTTCATGTTCTGTCTCACACTTGCTCATTAAAATGAGTTTTGCTAGCATGTGCAGACTAGCCTGCAATTGCCTGAAATTTCCCCATGTTCCATTAGCCTGCCAATATACATGCCTCTACCTGTTAGGCTCAGACAGATTATGACCCCTCTTAGTAGCTAACAACCCTTAGCTTCCTTTGTTAGAAAGCACAGGTAATAGGGGAGAGGAATAGCATCAACTGTAACTCTTGCCCCTTCAGTACAAACAGTCCTGTAGGTTGTGGTGATTAATGGACAGTTGTAGAAACAGAAGTTGAAATTAGCTTTGTAAAGCTGTCCAGTGAAAGCATAGGAATAAAATGAATATACATAAGCTTTCAATAAAAATGTAGTGATAACATTCACCCCTTTTCCTCCTGTTCAATGGGCAAGTCAGCTCAGAAAGGTAGAAGGCTCATTTACTATTACATGCTGATCTCAGTTGAGATAGCACCAGTGAAGCTCACTGATCATCCAGAGGACAGAACGGGACAGTCATATTGATGAGTATTTTCTGTGCAGTACCTTCTGTTAGTAAGCTTTGCCTCTGGAGCCATCTGCCAAGGATAGAATTGAATTGGTTTGTAGGAGCCTCATGGACACTCACCATCACGTGCAATCTGGGATACCAAAAAGGGTGAATGGCCAGTTGTGCTACTTTCAATGAGATGACCTTCTAATCTTTGACATCTATTTGAACCATTGCAGACCTATGTCCCAAGAGTCCTACGTGAACCCAAGTCTGAAAACAGCCAACTTGAGCACCGTGACCAGCCTTCATATGGTGCCTTGGAAGACAGTAATCAGCTGATAGAAGACAGGCCTCCCTTTCCAGGCAACAGTCAAGATAACGATCAAGTATATTTGGTGGATACAGGAGCTACTGAGATCTAGGAAATCTACATGTGATTTAGAACTGGACTGGTCACCATGTGGTACTGTTACAGCTCTGTTGGGGCACAAGAGGAATGGATATTGTCCAACAGCTCATTTACTTGCACTCTACCTTTTAATAGCCTTGATGAATAGGAAATTTTGTTTTGCTAATTTCTTTGAAGTTGTTTTTTGAAGGGGTGTTTGGTTACATCAGGTCTTTGGTGGATAATTGCCACTATCATGTGATCTATTTTAACTTAAAGGCTATTAGTTCTAGGTTTGAATCTGATTTTTTATTCTAAAACTGAACTTGAAAAGAAGTCACAGTTGAGTTCACACATTGAACCTCAGCCTTCCACACACTCATCCAAAGTTTAACAAAAGTTTATTGAGCACTTCATTCTATACTCAGACAGATGATGACACGTGACATACACTAGCATATATTTCTCCTCCTCTCCTGCAGGCACCTACTCTTACTGGGGCTGAGGAGAGAAAATGGAACATTACTACACAGGCTGACCCAAGTCTTAGCTGAACAGCCACTCTTCTTTGAAAGCCTATGAAGCTGTTGTCAGTTCAACATAGAAGGCGGTAACTGATATTCATTAATGAATAAGTGGTTCCAAGAGCGGGCAAGAGGAGAAAATGGTGTGCTGACGTTTTCTTCAAGCTCACAGGTGCTAAATCATGAATAGCATGACATAACGAAGTGTGGCCAGGATTGAAAGATTATTTGCATTTTGCCAATGATAGAACAGACTGAGTTTAGTGCAGTGGTGTTGGTACAAGAAGCAAGATAAAAACAAAAAAGTCATGTTCAATACAAGAGAATTTGCTTTACAATTTGAACACCTTTGTGATTTCAGCCCTGTCCTCCCAACAGCAGCTTACTCAGCTGGGACACCAAATCCACCAATATTTGGGTATATAATAGCATAGCACAAGAGGGCTGCTATTCAGTCACTTATGCTTAAGCTGGCAAATTTAGTCTCACAACCTTCCTTTCCCTGTTAGGGCATGCAAATTCGAACGAACTAGGGCACATGACCCCTTCAGCCTGCTCCATCATTCAATAAGATCGTGGCTGATATGATGATAGTTGATGTCAAGGGCTGTCATTCTCACCTCAAGGCTGCATTTGACTGAGTGTGGTATCAAGGGGACAAACTCTCCAGTGGTTGGACCATAGCTGACACATAGGAAGATGCTTACGGTTGGAGGTCAGTCACCTCATCTCCAGAAGATCTCTGCAGGCGTTCCTCAGGCCCAACCATCATCAGCTGCTTCAATGACCTCCTCCCCCCGCAATCATAAGGTTAGACATGGGGATATTCATTGAAGATTGAACAAGGTTCAGCACTATTTGTGACTCAATACTGAAGCAGTCCATGTTCAAAACATGATCTGGACAAAATCAGACTTTGGCCTGTAACATTCACACCACACAAATGCAAGGCAATGACCTAAATCACTGCCCTTTGACATTCAATGATGTTACTGAAACCAAATCCCCACCATCAACATCTAGGGGGATTACTATTGACCAGAAACTCAACTGGACTTGCCACAAACACGGTAGCTACAACAGCAGGTCAAAAGCTAGGAATACTGCAGCAAGTAACTCACCTCCCGACTCCCTAAAGCCTGTCCACCATCTGCAAGGCACAAGTCAGGAGTGTGATGGAATACTCCCCACGTGCATGGAGGAGTGTAGCTCCAGCAACACTCCACAAACTAGACACCATCCAGAATAAAGCAGTTCACTTAATTGGCACCACATCCACAAGTATCTACTCCCTCCACCATTGACGCTCAGTAGCAGCAGCATGTATTGCCAGGCAGGTGGCACGGTGGCTCAGTATTAGCACTGCTGCCTCATGGAGTCAGGGACCCAGCTTCAACTGTTGGTGAGAATGTGCAAATTCCAGTGTGCATGTGGGTTTCCTCTGGGTACTCCAGTTTCCTCCCATAGTCCAAAGATGTGCAGGTTAGGTGGATTGGCTGTGCTAAATTGCCCATTGTTTTCAGGGATGCACAAGCTAGGTGGATTATTAATGGGAAATACGAGGATAGCGTAAGGGGGTTGGATGCTCTTCACAGGGTTGGTGTGGACTCAACGGGCCGAATGGCCCATTCGCACACTGTAGGGATTCTACGATATTAACAAGATGCACTGTGGAAATTCACCAAAGATCCTCAGACAGCACTTTCCAAAACCATGACCACTTGCACCTGGAAGGACAAAGGCAGATATATGGAAACACCACCACCTGCAAATTCTCCTACAAGCCACTCACCAGCCCGGCTTGGAAATATAATCAATGTTCCTTCACCATCACTGGATCAAAATCCTTGAATTCCCATCCTAACAGCAGCAAGTCAACCTTTAGCATGTGGGTTGCCACAGTTCAAGAATGCAGCTCACCATCACCTTCAAGGGCAAATAGGGACCGTCAATAAATGCTGGTCAGCTAGTGATACCCACGTTTGAGTGACCAAAAAAATTATCTGCATTCCTACCTACCCATGATAACCTATCATCCTTTTGCTCATCAAAAAACTACTTATCCTTAAAGACATTGAAGGACTCTGCTTCCACCGCCTTTTCAAGTAGTATTCCACAATGGGTAATACTTTATTAAGCAGCCATCCCTCATTCTAGATTCTCACAACAGAGCTCATCCTTTTCACATCCACCTTATGCTTCAATCAATTCACTTCATATTCTAAACTCTGGTGGATATGACTAGCTTGTCCAACCTCCCATCACAAGACAACCTGCCCATTCAAGATCTTAGACGAGTAAACCTTCTCTGAACTACATTTTTCAAGTAAGAAACTGATACAGACCTATTCTAGATGTAGTCTCACCAATGCCTTTTAGTTTAAGTATATCTTATGTTTATATTCAATTTCACTTGCAATAGACAACATTTTACTAGCTTTCCTAATTAGTTGCTAAACCAGCATACAAAACATTTGCACCAGGATACTCAGATCCCTCTGCAATTCTTCACCATTTAGATAAGATGCTTTTTTATTCTCATGCCAAAATGGCCAGATTCACGTATTCCCAAACTACACTATTTTCCACAGCTTTGCTGATTCATTCAACCTATCTATATCACTTTATAAGATTCCTTCAGTCTTCTTCACAAACTTACTTTACAACTTATTTTTGTGTCTTAGCAAGTTTGGCAACAGCACCTTTTGACTCCTCATACAAATTATTTATATAAATTGCAAATAGTTGTGGCCCCAGCACCAATTGTGACAATTTGTTACATTTTCACAAGAAAATTACCCATATGCCTACACTTTCCAACTAAGTAGCAAATCTTTCATCCATGTCATTGTGTTACCACCTCCATTATGAGCTGTTAATTTTTCACAATAACCTTTCATGTGGCACCTTATGAAATGCCTCCTGGAAATCCAAGTACAGTATGTTCACTGGTTCTCCTTTATCCACAGTATTTATTGAAAGAACTATAATAAGAATTATGCAGTTTTTTCCTTTTACAAAGCCATGCTGACATTGCTTGATTACCTTGAAACTTAAATACATTTACATTTTTAATAATAACTACCAACATCTTCTCTATGACAGAGGTTAAGGACTGAGGACTGTAGTTTCCTGCTTTGTCTCCTTCCTTTTTGGAATTAACCCTGCAACTTTGTCCGCTCCAATTGCCCTTTGAGATTCTTTGCAATCCTAGAATGATCCAGGATTTTAACAACCATGGATGAAGAAATTGCTCATTTTCCTACTTTATCTGTGCATATGTAGGTAGGTTCTGCAGACTGCTATTTGAACTAGTGGCATTCCTGCCGGCAAGGAAATCTTGTGCTTCTAGATTCCAACAGGAAAGCTTACGCAACAATCAATCCCCACACCTGGGCTGCGAGACCATGCCAAAGAATCACCCATGTGACTGAGCTTACTTCCAGGACTTGTGACTAGAGTCCTCCAAGGTGGTAACTTGCTGCTTGATATCCTGCCGCTTAGTGACCTTTTAATTGGAAACCAGGTTGGTGTGGATGAGGCCCGAGCTCGTGGTGCCAAGACTCTCAACTCCCACCTACATGCACAAATGATTGGTGATGGCAATCAATCATTTATTGAAATCTTAGAGGTGTAGGTAGAGAACACAAGTATAATAACTTGGAGAAAATAGAATTCAACATTGTGCTACGTAGCGCAAACATCTATAGTGGTATTGGTGGCTTCTGCACAGAGCCACTTGTAAAAACCAGAGTTTCAGCCAAGGTTTTTACAACTTCTGCTACTTATTGAACATTGTTCATCACTTTGCAAATTCTGCAAAGTATTGAGTCAGTGCCAAAACAGGAAATCTGACAGTGACGAGAAGCATCTTTTAAAGATTTCCCTTATAGAATTCCTTAAAATTTGATCAAAAAGTTTGAACATGTTCTTCCTCCTCTTCTGGTAAGAAGTTCATCTAGTATATTGAAAAATCTCATGACCAGCACACATCTATCCTACAACAAATTTGAAGATGCATGAAAGTCTTTTTCATGAAAATCTATATTTTCATATATGAGCCTGAAACGTACAAGCAGTGCTCTTTGACTGAGCTCAAGTATTTTAATTGGCTGGATTTGGTTATTGTTAACTGTGGGCCTAAAGGGACAATTAGCAGCCAGAACAAAGACTTCTCATGAGCAACTCCACAGGCAATCTTCCACTTCTGGAAGCTTATAGGCAAGAACTGGGGAAAAGCAATGGTGATAGGACTGCATGAAAACCAATTTGCATATATCAGCCAATGCACATACAAGTATAGTGTGCTTCATATAAATATTTAGACTACTAGAATATTTACTGCTTTAATTAAATATTTGAGTGTCATGTGCCATTGGAAGTGTGCTATTTTGCACCATTGACTATAGAACTCAGACAAAATGTTCTGCTTTACCACACACTCTCCAAAATCTGTCTCATGTGCCATGATAGAGCCAAAAATCCAGTTTTGATCTGGGTTGGTTTCATGTTTTTTTTTTTCTCCACTCAATGCCAAATCTGGAGAATTTGTCAAACTCCCTGCTTAGGTTCTGTGACTCGCCAGCTCATTTGGCAAAAAGGTGGAAGCGTCTGAATCTCTAGCTGTTTCTCAAGAAAAACGGTGTGGCAGAACCAAACGCTCCCTAAAAAGGTAAGGAAGGCAGGTTCCCTTTACATTACTTCAATGCCACCCAAACAAAGAATTTCCAGCATTACTTACACTTCTCATACTTTGCAGCCCCTCTGAACAGGACTGTTAGTTTACAGATGCACTCATTTGGTTTTCTGCTAATGGACTGTCTTGCTCTTCAATTGTAACTGTTTGCAAATGAAATCTGCTGCTCAAAAAGAAACTTACTGGGATGAAAGAAATGGCTCTCAAATCAATTTCTGTCAACCAAGAGATTGCCCACTATGATGTCAAGATTGCCGGAAGTTAAATTCAATTAATATGTCTGGAATATAAATCTAGTTTTTAGGGCGGCACAGTGGCTCAGTAGTTAGCACAGCTGCCTCTCAGCACCAGGGACCCAGGTTTGATTCCCACCTTGGGCAATTGTCTGTGTGGACTTTGCACATTCTCAGGACTTATAGCTGAAGCAGTAATGCAAAGACTAGAATGGACAACCCTTCCTACTATCCAGCCAAAAATACAGGTCTGCTACGTGGATGACACGTGTCATTATCAAACACACAAAATTGGAGGAAACCCACCCACTCATCAACATCCTCACTGGTTTAAAATTCACCAGGGAAGAGGACGACAACGTGGTCGAACGAAGGGCCAATAGTGAACTCTCGACCAGCTTACACAGGAAGGCCACATATACAGACCAAATTCTTAACTACAACAGCAACCACCCCAACTCCCACAAACAGAGCTGCATCAGAACTCGTTCAAAAGAGCCAAACACTCTGCAGCACCCTGGAACTGTGCAAGGTCAAAGAACACTTCCACCATATCTTTAAAAATGGCTAGCCAAAAAGCGTAGTCTGTCAGTACTTAAAGGACAACAGAAAGACACAGGATGCCTGAATACACTAGTCACTCTCCCATACATCAAGAACGTATCAGAGATGACCAGACTACTAGGAATCATGGTAGCACACAAACCCTCAGCTACACTATGACAACTGACAAGAACAAAAGGATCCCATACCCACAATTAACAGGACCAATGTTATATATAAAAATCCCATGTAAGAACTGCCACAAACACTACATCAGACAGACCAGGAGAAAACTAGCTATCAGGGTATGTGAGCACCAACTAGCTACCAAGAGACACAACCAACTATCACTCATTTCTATACACGCGGACAAAGAAGGCCACCAATTCGACTGGACAACGTAACCATCCTAGAACAAGCCAAGTAAAGACACACATGGAAATTCCTAGAGGCCTGGTACTCAATCCGGAACTCCAAACATGTGGAGATAGACCCAATAAACCAACCACTACGAAGCAGAATGGGAAATGAGGCCAACCACCACATAAATAACAAGTGGGACAGACCAACAATGCTTCAGAGGCGCATTGATGATGTTACCTCGTATGGTGGCGAAATGTCTGCAAACCAACCTACCAGCTCTGCTAACAAATCAACAAACCCTGTCAACGGAAAATAGCCCAGCCTGTGATTTTTAAAAAATAAAAATAATGCTTCAAGAATGAACCAGAAGTAGCTTTTCCAATGGTTTCTCCTGAGTGTAGATTGGTGATGTACACAGTCTGTCTTCCTGTTGATCCAAAGCTATTCAAACATAGCCCAGGTACTGTGCAAGGCACATGCAACAACCTACCAATTGAAAAACTTCTGAAACAATGACAAACTTTGACTAGAAGTTGACATTGCTATATATTGGAATAAGGCAACACCACATTCGAGAACTAATTTCCCGGGTTGATTGGAAGGCATTGTACAAGGTTCATTTAGTCCCATCACTTGAGCGGTTTTAGGTACACAACCACATCTGCTGTACCAAAATATGCAAATAAAACTTCTATAACTGCAATATTGTTTTTATAATTATATTCTAATGCACCGGAGTCAAAGCCTAATTTGCATTCAAAGCAAAGCAAATTTTTGCCCATAGTATTGAAGTTATTCCACTAGGGACACCAGTTTATTGGCCTAAAAATGATAATTCTCAAGAATACTACTGAACGGGCAATACACATCGCAACACACCCCAGCCTAGATTTATGCACATACATATACACACACACAAATAAAACTACTTATGGGAAGGGGAAATACTATTGTTATGCTTTGTCTTCCACATAATGAGAAATGGAGAAATGGTCCTGTGATTGATAGAAGATGCTGGTTTTCTTTGAAGTTGACAAAATTTATTCTTTCATGTTGTATATGACAGTGTTTCGGGAGTTGAGAAGGATTCACAAGAGATGTAATTTTTGACAAACAAGTGTGCAAAATTGCAAGGTGCATTTTAAAAATAATAATTGAATCCCAGTCAATTTTTATTTTCTATATTTTAAAACCTGTTTCCACTATACCTCATTTAATTCTCTCTACTCTTCAGGTTGAAAAGGCTTCTAATTTCAAGCAGGCTGATTGGAGGGAAAGATGAGGAATTCGTAATGACCTGCTCAAGAAAAAGACAAACACAAATAATTTGTCCACATTGTTGTGTGCGCACAACTTCAAAAATGAGCCAAAGACTCAAGGGGTAAAGCTAAGGCTAGTCAAAATTATAGGTTTTCGTCAGCCTTAACTACCTAGGTTTAGTAGCATTTCAGTTTTTGAGAGGTAACGACCTTCAGTTAACATTTGAATCTTTAACCAAAGAAGAGAAACAAAACAGATCAACTCCTACACGAACACCAACTTAAGTCAGTTTAGATGAATCGTAGTTTGCATTTGTGCTGCTGTATTGTGGTTCTGATATTCTAAATCACTGTTTTCCCCCATTTCTACCCTTTCTACCATCACTGAAACATGCATTATTTTAAACTGGTCAAATTAGATTTTCCAAACCTTCTGCAAGACTGTAGCGTGAAGGGGGCATACGAATAAACAAGAATCTGCAGTTAAAAAATTCATTCAGTTCAGAACTATGGACCTTTCATTTGTCGCACACTGGAGCACTAGGAGACAAATGAGGCAATACAAAAATGCAATGAAATTTAAGATATAGATTTATACATTAAAGATGATAAATACACTTCCAAATCTACCTTTTGGACCTTCAGCCAGAAGCCAATAAATTGATAGCAATTTCAAGATCCCAAGGTCAGGGGCCTGATACACATGGCACATCAAGTTATCTGTCATCTCAAAGATCCACTGTCCACACCATTCCTTCCCAAGTTTGACTCTCTACCCTTCCCTTAAATTGGCGCAGCGATACAGAAAGCCAAGGTTTTTAGGGGTTAGCAAAACACTGGCCAAAATGCAACTGTTATCAAAATGTCAGGCTACCCTCTATTTGGCAGGTTTTAAAAAGTGATAAAACAATACTTGTAACTAATACAGAAAGCCTAGTTTTATATCTATTCATTTTTAAAACAATTTTACACTTTTATTCACTTGTGGGACATGGGAATCGCTGGTTGGCCAGCATTTAAATCGCTCATCCCTAGCTCCCCCTGAACACAGCAGCTTCGTCAGCCATTTCAGAGGGCAGTTGAGACTTAACCACATTGCTGTGGGTCTGGAGTCACACCTAGGCCAGACCAGGTCAGCATGACAGGTTTCCTTCCCTAAAGGGCATTAGTGGGCCAGATGAGCTTTTCTGACAATCAACAGTGGTTTCACAGTTGCAATTAGATCCTTAATTCCAAATTTTCTTTTTACTTCAATTCAAATTCCATCATCTGCCATAGAACATAACAGCGCAGTACAGGCCCTTCAGCCCTCGATGTTGCGCCGACCTGTGAAACCAATCTGAAGCCCATCTAACCTAAACTATTCCATTATCATCCATATGTTTATCCAATGACCATTTAAGTGCCCTTAAAGTGGGTGAGTCTACTATTTTTGCAGGCAGGGCATTCCACGCCCTTACTACTCTGAGTAAAGAACCTACCTCTGACATCTGTCCTATACCTATCACCCCTCAATTTAAAGCTACGTCCCCTCGTGCTAGCCACCACCATCCGAGGTAAAAGGCTCCCACTGTCCACCCTATCTAATCCTCTGATCATCTTGTATGTCTCTATTAAGTCACCTCTTAACCTTCTTCTCTCATGGTGGGATTTCAATCCGGGTTCCCATTCACTGAGTTTATGGGTTAATAGTCTAGCAATAATACCACTAGGTCATCATTTCCCCTTCATTTGAGGGATTTGAAATATGGCCCTATTTTTGGCCCAGGCTGGTTTCCGAAAGTCAATAGGTGATTGGAGGGTGAGGTCAGATATGCTACTTTTAATAAGTGGCACTTCGTATATATATTTCCATATACCCCTGAAGGGCATCCCTTTGTTAAATCAACATCTCATTCGATTCTTGTGATTTTATTTTTATTTTCCCCCAATTAAGTTGTCAATTTTATAATGCCACCCCAAGATGATTAAGAACTGGGTTGTGTAGCTGCCCAAAATAATTCAGTTTGGGAAACTTTTATAGTGTAAAGAGGTGGTCATTTAGTAAGTGAGAGAAAAATAAAGTGAGAAATGTGATTGATCATTCTTCTTTGGTCCAAACCAAAAGACCTCAAGAGATGAAAAAAAACCTGTGTTAATCTAATATGGCAACAGCTTCATTGCTCCATTCCGGAAGCAGATCAATTTGAGATAAAGACTTTTGCAGAATGTCGTTGGGATGTGTCCTCAAGCCTATGCTTGCTGCATAGAGATTGTCACATTGATCTGAGTAAAACCCTTGGCTAGGATCAGGCTACTGGCAAATGCCTTCTCAGGCAAATGTCACATCGTACATTCTGATCAGAACCATTAAAACAAAGCATCATTCAAAAGGTATATGGAAGGAGGTGGGAAGGGAAAGGAGAAATGAGAAAGGTAAAATAAATGAACATAAACAAAATAAGCTCCTGATGGTTATGCCCGAGCTGTATGACATTTAAAAGCTAGACTTCATATAAATAGTCTTGACATTGACTCACTGCTTTAAGACAAGGGGTAACAGAAAAGAAAATGCATCTGACTTGAAATTGTAAAGAGAGTGTGGAGCATGTAAGGCATAGCTTATGTGCTGAGCACAGAAATGTTGAGGCAGAGTTTTATTTGGTCTATTAGAAAAAAAAACTATAAAGCACATTGCATGAAGATAATGGATTAGAAGGCGCAGCAGAATCCATAAACAGCTTGCATCACAGTTTTCAATATGAAAATATGCTACTGTGCTGCAAAAGTAGGAGTACAGTGATGTATTTTCACTAGATACATGTCTGAACAAATACGGTGTCTCAAAGCTTGGCCTGTTCAACCCTAGCTTTTTTAAAAAAGATAAATACTCAAAAACATTTCAGGCATTTTGTAGGTTGCAATATGGTTATTTGTTTCATTTCATGGACTGGAATGGGACACGTCAGAAGCTAAATGGGTATTGAAAACTAACCAAAAGAGAACAGACTTTGATAAAGGAATCATCATTCTTTTTGTGGAATAGGAAACATTATTTTAATTCACAAAATGGACCAGTGCCAACCAGGAAATCACTTACTTCTTTCTGGACCATAAAAGCCAGACACCTTCTATAAAGTGCAATACTAAGTTATGTTTCTTATAAGAAAACAATTCATCTACAATAATGTGCAACAGTTGAAATGGCAACTAGCAAACAGCAGTAAGCTCACATTGTGCCTTAGTTGTTATTATGAATTATATTGACAAGAGATGCCAGTACTGGAGAATTAGACTTTTGCATCCAGACACATCATTAAGCATTTCCAAGTTACGCATAGTATAAATTAGGTCAAGGTGTGTCTCCCATTGAGAAGTTTTTAGTTGGAATTGAAGGAAAATTCCTTAGTGTATTACCTTCAATCTCAGGATTATCCACATGTTCCTTGCCTGCTGATTTTACTAGGCTTGCCCAGTTATCTCAGACAAAACAGATTGCAGATGATTATACTGGTCCCTTCAGGAAAGGGAAAATCTGTAGCTTAGATTTCTGCTCCAGTCTCTTGGCTGTTAAGTATGCAAGGAATGCTGTGATCATGAAGCCCCTAGTTCAAAGTGAATATCTAGAACATTGATAGACTGTTTCAATGGTATGAGCGATTAATAGTATATGACCTTACGGCAGATGACATCACCAGTGCCACAGGACGGATGTAAAGCAATTCGCTGATCTCTATTAATTACATTATATACACAATACTTGAATGTTAGTACACTTAGCTATGTACATATAACCCTACCCCAACAACATTATTTCAATCAAATGCAATAGTGGACCCATGATGTACTCTCATTATAGGCATCTGTGAAAGCACATAATTAATGTCGGGTCATGCCAACTAGGCAGCAGTTCTCAGATCTGTGAAGTCACTTCGGATAAATGAATGTTCAGTTACTCCCATCAAGTAGAACTCATAATTGCATTAAAAAATTTCTCCAAACATAATACATGTGCTGGATCCAGAAAATGCACCGTCAAACATCCCTCATGGACAATAGCATATGGAAATCCAATGGCTTGTATAAAATGGGCTTTTGAGTGCCCCATATTTTCCAAATAAAAATATACTGAAGAATGTTTAATGGGATGGAAAGAGGCATGAAAGATAACAAATTAGCCTGTTATTTTAATTCAGTGTGCACTGAAGTCCCAAAGTACCAGGTCTTGTTAATATGGGTTCTGAATTTAATTTGGATCATACTTCGCTAAAGTTCAACGTAAAGCACAGCAAGAAGTTATCATGGGAGCCACTATCTTTCAGTCAACTGCAAAAAGAGGGAGGCTGGAACAAACAAATCCTAATGTCTCACATATAACTTATTCTATAAATTCTGAACATAGCAAAGACGACAAACCCTCTTTGATCCTAAGTATATACAAACTTGCACGAATATAATGGAGGATAGGGTTTAACTCTCCATCCAACTCACTTTAAAAAGACCCATAGGTCAAACAGTAGTTAATATAAATTCAAGAATGCAAACTTTGTCAACAATAATGTGCACTTCTGTCAGATCAAATTTCAAATGACATTTTGACAGGAAGGAAAGGAAAAGTAAAGGAAAAGTAGTACAAATCAGTGAATGGGTTAGGGCCCGGCTTAGAAAGGAATGTTACAATTCCTGCCATAAAGGATCATTACCCATCCAGATAGACTAAATATCAATTTTTACCTTTCTGTAACCTGTTCAAGATTGGATGGAGTCTGTAGTAATTTTAGCAAGCTGAGAATTCAGCCAAATATCACCAGATGGATGATTCAGTTTACAGGCTGCGTGGTAAGAGTTAAAATATTCTTGTATTTGGGTCTGCAATCATTTCAGACACAAGGAGAGGGAGGAGGAAGAGGAATAATTTATTTAAATCATGATTGTTCTTTAGTTGCAACTTTATCATAGCCAATAAAAAGGTGATTTGCAAGTGGCTCCCTGTCATCCTTTCAGCCTTGATTGAGGACATCCTTGCCAGGACAAGCTATGGTTGCACCCGAGCTTGCAGTGGTTATAGTCAATAGATAACTCTGGTTCTATTTCAACAAATTTAAGTATGTCAGGCACCTTTGTCCAGAGTTTCTTTCTCAACATCTGAAAAGGTGCTGTCAAACAACTTTCTCATGCAACGTACTGCAGAAACAGAGGAGAATTGACAAGACTTGAGCTTCAGTTCTGGTCCTTTATAGGCAACTTTCCTTTCGGTCCCTGCATCCTTGTTTCTAAGATTCTGAAATGGATCAGCTGTTGACTATACTGCATCCAAAATCGGAGATTTAAAAACATCTATTATATAGTCAACTAGAAATGCTGTATGATCTTCAGTAAATCTTAAACGTATAGTTTTGAAATAATTTTAAATGCTTTGACCGCAGGTAGAAGTTCAACTTCTACCCCTGTCCTAAACACCAGGCTCTTTAACAGGAAATGGGCTCTTTAATAGGAAATGAGCTCATAACGAACGTGACCCATCCTCTACATAGCACACCTGAAAACTTCAAGGGGAAAGAAAAATAAAGTACAAAAACATCAGATCGTCTGCAATTTCAGCATGGGATCGTCAACAGTACCACATCGCTCATTTTAACAGCCCTATTAGCAAATGTTTGAACTACATAGTAAGCCACAGACCCAACAGCCAGGACTGTTACTTTCTGCAGAAAACTTTACATTCTTTTAAATATATATTTCAACTACAGTTGTGTACATGTGCACTTTAAAAAATAAATAAGAAAACGTCCAGAGTGGTGCTACAGAAAACATACATCTCAACACTGTGAAAATGCAAGATTTCTACAGATCGCTTCCTCCTACAAAACTGACACATCACACAGATGACACCTGGCACCAAGGACACATTTAAACTGGTCCTGATAGATCAATGCTGCTAATCCCTTTACAAACTCTTAAATTAAATTGTATACTTATAAATATTCCAACATGCTGGATCAATTTTACCATCCTTAGATGCTTACATGATTTGAATTGGAAAAGGATTAATTTCACCATGATTCTGTAACACTGATGCTCTTTCGTCTCATACGGTAAAGTATATCATACATCATTCCTTCTTTCCCCTCTCTCATCCATCCATCCCCCCACCACCCACCCATCCCTCCTTCCCTCGTCCCGTTATGATACGTGTGCTGACATAATCAGGCTGACTTGTCTGTTCCCTACTTTTGGTGGCAGATCAGCAGAAGGCTTTCCTGGGAATGATGTTAGCGATGCAGTCAAATTTCCTACCACTAATATCAATGTATATGTTGGCTGAACGTTTATAGTTGGGCAGGTAAAAATGCGTAGCTATTTTCTCTACAACTCTCGCACACCACATCATATTCCACTTCTGTTGCGTTCCTCCAAATCAGGCAAAGACAAGAAAGGTTTAGCAAATTGCATCATACTGGTATACACAGTACCAGGGGCTAGTAATTACAGTCTGGAGTTTCAACGACCTAGTGCTGCCATAGTTCCCAGGTCCTAAACTGTGCAGTCTGAATAATATGTTTTAAAAACTGTCAATTTCCCTTAATGATGAACTTCATTTTCAATAAGACTGTCTTCACAGGACTGGAAGTCTCCTTCATTATTCATCTCCCTGGAGTTCTTCTGTGCTGCTGGCTCATTGTCATCTCCCGTGGGTTCTGATTGAGGATCCTGCAGTACCTGGGCAATGTACCTCTGTATATGGAAATGAGCACAGGTTAGTATTGCATTGTTTTATTAAGTAGTTTGTTAGAGCACACAGAAGCAGCCTACATCATTTGTACATCATTGTACAAAAGTGACATTTTACGTTCATGGTCATGCGCGATTTCAGGTTTCTTGGAAAATTCACTAAGACAGAATTTGCTGCATCTGACAAAGGAATACTTAGGTTTCTTTTCACGGTAGGCTGCTGGAAACAGAATAAAAAGGAACAGTTTTGGAGATGCTGAACTTCAGTTCTGGGAATATCTATGGAGAAAAATATTAACAGCTGAAGGATATTACCAGCATTTTCTTATTTATTTCAGATTTTTAACATCTGCAATACTTTGCTTTTATGTTGATGTAAGGAGTGGGAAATGGTCTGGAATCCTCTACATGACCTATGGAAAAGGGCCAAATGACTGACAGATTGAACAGTTGTCCATAATTAGTGAAGTCTGAACCAGGAAGTGCAAGTTAGACAATTTCAATGTTAAATCAGATTCAGAAAATGAAACAGAGGGGCAAAAAATTTGGACTAAGAGCAAGGGAGCAAAAGGAGACAAAGAAAAGGTAACATGAAAAAAAATCTTCAACTAAAAACTGAAGGAATGAGATTCCACTTCTCCCGAAGATTTTCAGCAACAGAGGCGCTGCCCGACAGTAAAGATGTCCTGAGGCTACGTGGATGGAAATACTCAAGTCCTAACTTTGTGGCATTTTTATCTCCAGCTAAGGAGGTTAGGAGCTTCATGCTTTTCAAAGTAATTAAAACGGAGAATAATATAGCAGAACATTGTTTATGCAATCTGACTGAAGGAACAGCATTTTGGACGGTAGTTTGAGGGGGATTTGTTTAACTTCACATCTCTATCACCCAGGTTGCTGTCCAATACAAAATGCAATGTGTATTGTTAGCCTCATTATTTTTACTGTAAATTCTACCCCAATATAGAAGCAGCTATTCTACTCATGGTGCTCACGTTAGTTGGTCTATTTGTTTGTATTTACTCGAAACACATTCCCTGACATAATTGTTCAAGTGCTTCATCTTATTAGAAAATGCTCTAATCCCTGCCTCAACAATTAATTGTGGTGAAGCATAAGTTTCTATGGAAGACGCAAGAAACAAACATTAACATACTGATTGTCCTGTGCTGTACTTCGCCTCCTCACATCAGTGATTAGGGACTCAGTGGAAGGGGGAAGAGAGAATGCGAAGCATTTTTAAAGGAAGACAAGACTGAGGTGGATTAATCTGTTAAACTAGCAATGTACTGCCTCCCCCGTGCACCCTTTACTGTAACTTAGATTAACAATTCAGAATCCTTGCAATACTCAACAATCCCAGGAGTCAAGGCGAATCCAAGTATCATTTGAAACAGTGAGAAAAATAGGCAGTGACATGGCTTCAGTTTAAAATAACCGAGCTACAGAGTTATGCGGGGGTGGGGGGGAGCGGACAAATAGATTGAGAGATGATTTTGAGCTTGAATGCTTTGTAACAATTCAAGACAGATTTATGGTAAATTTGAATAAATAGTTGATACAGACGATATTTGGGCGAAAAAGAAAGCGTGTGGCAGTGAGCTTCCTTTTTTGAGGAAAAAAAAAGTCAAGATGGAGTTGATTTGTGATTGACCTAATTTGGTGTTGTAAACTATGAAACTAAAGTTCTGACTAGCAAACACAGGAACAACACTTTACACTGGGTGCAAAGAAATTCTGCAAAAAGAAAATAAAAAGCACGACCTAATTCTGCTCAGTTAAAGGAAAATCAAAACGTTTGTTGGAACTTCTAAACCACTGTAGGAACAGGAGTTAACGAGCTGTAACATCAAACTCATGTAAGAGAATACGATATTGTTCTGCTATCAGTGACAATCAGCCTGCTTGTGGAACAAAAACAACTCAATGTTTAGTAGCTCACAAAGCACTGGAGCGCCTGACAGTATGTGCTCAAACTTTGATGTGGAGTATGAAATCGTAATCTCCTCCTAACCATGAATATATCTAATTAACTTAGACAATGAAAATGCCAAAAACTAAGAACCAGAACATGAAATACTCCGCCTTTCATTGATAAGCCAGCAGTACTGAACTGCAGCTACTGCCGATGTACAGTTAAAGCGTAACTTACTGTAACCTTTGGTGGGGATGAAGTGCCTTCCCCTTGTCCATTTGTTTCAACAGCACCGTCCACTTCACTACGATCAATCTGAAAATGAGATGGACGTTATAGCATATTTACATATGCAACTCCAAACCCAGAAATCTCTCAACAAAGGTCATTGTGCCAATTAAACACTCTACAGTGGAAACAGGTTTGCTCCTATCTCACTGCTCTGTGAATATTTTCATGAATATTCTTTGATCCTCCAAATGATAATTGAACCAACCTGAACAGTCCCTGTTGAGAAGCAGCAAGACCTAGACAACATCCACACTTGGGCTGATGGGTGACAAGTAACATTTGTACGACACAAGTACCAGGCAGTAAGCATCTCAACAGGAGGGATTCCAACCATTGCCCCTTGCTGTTCAATGGCTTGCCATTGCTGAATACCTCACTGTGAACATCCTGAGGGTCACCATTGACTAGAAATTGAACTTCACAGTTAAAACAAGAGAAAAAAATGGTTGGGAATTCTGCAATAGTTCACCTCCTGACACCCCAAAGCCTGTCTACCATCTGCAAACTGCAAATCAGGAATGTGATGCAAGAGTCTTTCTTTACTTGCTAGCAACATTCTTCCTAAGCCATACAGCTGCATGTATGCGGATGGCATACTGACATAGTTTTTTAGAAGTCACAGCTGCACAGGGACCTTGGAGGTCATTGCAGCAGAAAGCAACGCAAAGGGGAATGTAGCTTGCCAGAATGAGTGCAACTCCAACACTCAAGAAGCTCGATATCAACCAGAACAAAGCAGCTCATTTTACTGGCATCCCATGCACTGCCTCTATCAATGATGCACAGTAGCTACAGTGTGTACCTTCTACAAGATAAACTGCAGTAACTCACCAAGCCGCCTTAGACTGCGCCTCTCAAATTCTACCACCAGATGAATGCCGCCATTTGCCACACACCATCCTGATTTGGAATTGTATTACTGTTCCTGCTTCCCTAAAAACATGCTAAGCATGAACTACTTCACATGTATTTCAGTAGTTCAAGACAGTAAATGCTAGACTAACCTCTGATAGCCCCATCTGTGATCAAATATTTAAAAAAGGTTCCAATAACCCCTTGTGGAATTTTGTTTCTTCTGGAAGCCCATACAGATAACATCGATGTTATGGTCTCCTCTATACACTCAACTAGTTTAGCTGGACATATCTCTCTCATTCCAAGCCTACACTAATTCTTTTTGATTAGCTGATTCCTTTCCAAGTTCTTAGTCGTTTTGTCTGATAATATTCCAACAATTTCCATACAATTTCAGTTATGCTGAGTAATGACTTATTTCTGCACGCCCCTTCTCCATCATAAGGAAAGACACTTGGAACCTTTCAATTCCAAGGCACAAAATCTAGTTATAGGAAACTTGTGGAAAATTGCAGATGTATTAGTTCTAATTTTCTAATGTATTCTCTTTACGCCTTGGGAACCATCTGGTCCTGGAGACACTATCATCTCAACCCCATGATATTTTCATTATCACATTTCTTTAAAAATCTTCTACTCCATTTGCTGGCTTATTTCCAACTTCCCATGTACCACCAGCATGTTGCCTGCTTTCATCACTGAAAGTGGAAACAGGGGACAAATCTGCCATTTCTTCCATTAATCATTAATATTTCTTTGGCATCAGACAGCTTTAATGGTTCAACATTCCCCATTGAGTAGCTGCCCTGAGCTCATGGTGGTGGTGCTGGGCACTCCTATTGAAGTGGATGCCCTGGTGACAGTTGCACTTCCAAAAGGACATTAGGGGGAATTCAAAGTTTCTGACCCAGTGGTGATAAAAAAAAAAACTGATTACAAGATGCTAAGTACTCTTGGTAAGGTACTTTAGTCCATCCTCAATGCAATATACATTGTAGCCACTGCGCTGTTTTGAGAAATAGGAGGGCTACTGATCAAGGGAACTGCTACGTCCTGGTGACTGTTGAGCTTTGAGTGTTGCTATGACTATACCAATACAAGGTCAAAAATCACATGACACCAGGTTATAGTCCAACAGGTTTAGTTGAAAAAACAAGCTTTCATAGCTCAGCTCCTTCCTCAAATGTAGTGTGAGAAAGAGGGTATAAGACACAGAATTTATAAGCAATAAAGTAACAACCCCAAAACTGACTGCCTCTTGTTGGATCTTTAATCAGTTAGGAAGGAGAGTACTCATTAGAATGCAAAATCCAGATTCCTTTCAGGTCATTGTCCCGAGATAATTAAAGGTCTTATCAACGTATACAAGAGGTGACATCTCAGGTCAGACAATGCATTTTAGGTCTGAAATCTTGCTTAGAATCTGTTTTAAACTGGGGTTAGGTTTTTTTGAGCAAAACAGAATGCATCTGCAACTACACGAACATCTTGGGAATAGTCTGTGTGCACATCCTCGCGTGCGTGTTGGGGGAGGAAGGAGTGCGTGGGGTGGGGGGGGGGGGGGGGGGGGGGAGGGGGGAGGTGGTGTGTGGGGGGGGGGGGGGGGGGGCGTGCCCACATTTAGCACCACATGAACCCAAGATCACGATTCAGGCAGTCCTCAGGGGTATGGAAGTTCACCTCATGGGTATGGGAGTTGTCCCCTTGTTTAAGAAGGGTAGCAAGGATAATCCAGGTAATTTTCGACTGGTGAGCCTGATGTCAGTGGTGGGGAAGCTGCTGGAGAAGATACTGAGGGATAGGATCTATTTACATTTGGAAGAAAGTGGGTTTATTAGTGATAGGCAGCATGGTTGTGTGCAGGGAAGGTCTTGTCTTACCAACTTGATAGAATTCTTTGAGGAAGTGGCAAAGTTGATAGATGAGGGAAGGGCTGTAGATGTCATATACATGGACTTCAGTAAGGCGTTTGATCAGGTTCCCCATGGTAGGCTGATGGAGAAAGTGAAGTCGCATGGGGTCCAGGGTGTACTAGCTAGATGGATAGAGAACTGGCTGGGCAACAGGAGACAGTTGTAGTGGAAGGAGTTTCTCAAAATGGAGAACTGTGACCAGTGGTGTTCTACAGGGATGTGTGTTGGGACCACTGTTGTTTGTGATATACATAAATGATCTGGAGGAAGGTATAGATGGTCCGATTAGCAAGTTTGCAGATGACACCAAGATTGGTGGAGTAGCAGATAGTGAAGGGGACTGTCGGAGAATGCAGCAGAATACAGATAGATTAGAGAGTTGGGCGAAGAAATGGCAGATGGAGTTCAATCCAGGCAAATACGAGGTGATGCATTTTGGAAGATCCAATTCAAGAACGAACTATATGGTAAATGGAAAAACCCTGGGGAAAATTGATGCAGAGAGATCTGGGTGTTCAGGTCCATTGTACCCTGAAGGTGGCAATGCAGGTCGATAGAGTGTTCAAGGCGGCATATGGCATGCTTTCATTTATTGGACGGGGTATTGAGTATAAAGAGTCGGCAGGTCATCTTGCAGTTGTATAGGACTTTGGTTCGACCACATTTGGAATACTGCATACAGTTCTGGTCGCCAAATTACCAAAAGGATGTGGATGCTTTGGAGAGGATGCAGAGGAGGTTCACCAGGACGTTGCCTGGTATGGAGGGCGCCAGCTATGAAGAGGTTGAGTAGATTAGGCTTATTTACATTAGAAAGATGGAGGTTGAGGGGGTACCTGTTTGAGGTCTACAAAATCATGAGAGGTATAGATAGGGTGGATAGCAAGAAGCTTTTTCCCCCCCCCCAGAGTGGGGGACTCAATTACTAGGGATCACGATTTCAAGGTGACAGGGGAAAAGTTTAAGGGAGATATGCGTGGAAAGTTCTTTACGTAGAGGGTGGTGGGTGCCTGGAACGTGTTGCCAACGCAGATGGTACAGAGCAAACACCACTCTACTCCCGATCCTAGAACAGTCAGGTCATCAGTGATGTTTAGGCTGAGAGTACAGGAATTCCTCAGAAAAACAATGCTATTCTGGGCTGTTGTGACAGGCCTGCAATTATCATTTTCCTGTGTGTCAGATCCAAAAACATTCAACCTCGAGTCTATTTATCTATAGTGATACCACAGTTGACCTTAATTTTGTTTCCAACTAACTTGGCTCTGTCACCCGGAATCCCCTTTCCTTAAAGCAAAATTCTGTGGGCTATAGTCTTGCTCTGAATGGCTAGTGTGAAGAAGGAAAGTCACACCTATGCAATAGGAAGCACTCTTCTGGAATGAAGGGATGATGCCGGAATCTGACTGTTCATGGCATTAAGAGCATTTCCAATTTTTTTGTCATGTGCAACTGAGCACATTAAACATTTAGGTACAAATTCCAACTTTGCACGTTCCCGTCAATGTGTTAGTTGCTAAAAAAAAAAAAAAAAGAGCTTTTTCCCCAAATCTCTGGGACTAAATACTCAATGATGACAAAGCAGTGAATTTAGAAAAAGGCTTAGCATTTGTAAATTATATTATCAGTGACTGAATGCTGTATACAGCATAACACATCTAAACTCATTTAGATCAAACCCTGATAATGACAGAGAGCAAATTATTGCCCGAGTTGATATCCTTCACCTCGAGAAGCATGAAATGAAATGATAGGAAAAAGATCCCAGCATGCAGATCGAGTTATCAAGGTTTTCAATTTGATTATTATGTATTGCCATGATCATCAAGTATGATTGGTAAAAATTAGTCAAAGTTAATTCCCAAAAACCACATGGTGAAAATTACCAGCGTCCTGTAACAGGATTCGTCCTCTGTACTTATAGCATCGGCTGGAGTGGAGGGTTGCTGAAAATCAACATTTTCAACAGTTATATTACCTACATATGGAAAAATAATCCTGGCAAGGATCATCTTACTAATAATGAAACCAGAAAACTTACATAGTGTTATCGAATCCCGATACTGGCTCTACAATTAACCCTGAAAATTGCCAAAGTTAATCTTACCAAGCTCAGAACTAGGAGACAGTTTCTCCTCCATTAAAACTCATGGTATTAACTGATCCTAATAAGGCCTTCACAATTAATCACTATGCTCCAGGGCTTGAAGGTAGGCAAAAGGAAGTACAACCAAAGGATAAATATACATAAAGCTGTATGCCTGTTCCTGATCACTGCTTAATGATCTCTGCTGGGTGTAAGGAAATACCAGAAGTTTCACAGGGATACCCTTGGTGATCAAATAGATTGCACTGGCAGTTGTACTTATCAAGTTCTGACATGATACATGGTCACAGGGGTGAAATACTGGAAGGCTGTAACAACACATGGAATTTTACCCCCATGAGAAGTAATCCTTTTGGCAGAAGGAAGGAAAATTGGGGCAGAGGGAAAGCAACACAGAACAAGAGTAGGCCATTTAGCCCTTTGAGCCTGTTCCACTATTCAAAAGGGCCACCAGACTTGAAACGTTAACTCTGATTTCTCTTCAGAGATGCTGCCAGACCTGCTGAGCTTTTACAGCAGTTTCTGATTTACAGCATCGCGGTTCTTTTGGATTTTATTTAGCCATTTATTCCTACTGTCTGTCTCCGGTTGGCCAACAAATCTTCTAACCATGCTTAAAATATCACATTCTACACAATGCAGAAAATAGCTAGCTCAATAACCATCAAGCCCTACTTTGCACATTCAGTAACTTGAAAAATTCTGTCTTACAGTAACAAGCAGACTACACATGTAATGCACCACGTATTATTCTGCTATGCCTTTAAGGATTCAAAGTTGTAAATGAACTGTGAATCCTGAGCTTGATTTGAGACTACTTCCACACTTCATTCACCAACAGCAAATACACATTTGCATCCAAACTTATAAAGACCAAAGAATGTTATGAACAGTGACAATACCAAAATTCATTCAAGTCCCTAGGTTGAGTCCATTTTTAATTGGCGAGTGCTTATGCAGTGGTCTTAAACAGACAAGCCAAATCAACAGGTGAACATCACAACCATACACCCTGCCACAAAGGCTCTCCACAAACGTACAGCATGTTCAGATACCAAAAAAAGTGGCTTACCTTATAGTTATGAGCACTGAGGTATTTGAAGTGGCCAAAACAGACATGAGACAGGCAGATAACGATAGTGACCACCAGCACAACAAATGTAAACATGGACGTAGCAGCTAAGAACCCTGCATACAAAAAAAAAGTTTTACTTTGAAGACTGGTTAATGAGTAAATGAATCTCGAACCTCAACAAATAACTTTCACTTAAATAGGGTGTTAAACTCAGTAAAATATCCCGAGACACTTCATGGGAGTATTCTCAGACAGAAGTTGTTATGGAGCTACATGAATAGATACTAGAACAAATAAAAGCTTGGTCAGGTTTTGAGGGGGGTGTCTGGATAGAGGCAGGGAGGTTTACGAAGGGAATTTGAGTTCAAATCTTAAGTTGTTGAGGGCACGGCTGCAACAGTATAGCAACGAATATTTAAGATTCCCAAGTGGAATACAGAAATCTGAGAACACTAAGCCTGGAATACGGAACGGGCTAGAACTATGGAGAGGTCTGAACAAAATAATGAGATGAGTGCTGAACTGGAAGCCAGGTACTGGATTGATGGATGAGTAGTGTAAGGGGTGATTTAGGATATTGACAGAAGATGTCAAGGATATGACCAAGCATACTGTAGTCTCACAGTGTGTAACGTGGGGGCTTGGAGTCTTCGCTATAATGAATTACATTATATTTACGGTGAGCGACTTTGTTCAGCATTTATTGATCAATACTATCAGTGTAGTGAGATGCAGCCAACGAGGGTGCACAACATCAAGTGTAGAGTCAGGGATGTGACTTGTGCTGCACAGCTATGTTCCTCATGTTGGTCACATGAAGACTTCATTAGCAAATGTGTGGAGCACTGTGTACCAAAGACGTCAATCCAAGTGTTCCCCAATCATACACCTTGGACGAACCAGGAAATCCACTCCCTCCTGAAGACCAGACATGCAGCATTCAAGGCGGGTGACCCGGACCAATACAGAAAATCCAGATATGACCTCTGCAAAGCCATCAGGGAGGCCAAGAGGCAGTACCAGACCAAGTTAGAGGCCCAGACCTACCAAACAGACACCCGCTGTCAATGGCAAGGCCCAAATGACATTACAGAATACAAAATGAAACAGTGTAAGATAGCAGACAATGATACATCCCTCCCTGACCAGCTCAATGCTTTCTATGCTCGGTTTGAGCAGAATACCACCAACATGGCGACACCTGCCCTGACAGCCCCAGACACACCTGTTCCCTCTGTCACTGCTGTAGAAGTCAGAACAGTCTTCCTGGGAGTCAACCCTAGAAAAGCGATGGGCCCGGACGGCATTCCCAGCCGAGCACTCTGATCCTGTGTGGACCAACTGGTGGAGGTATTCACTGACATCTTCAACCTTTCCTTCCTATAAGCTGAAGTCCCCATCTGCTTCAAGAAGGCCACCAAATATCCCCTTACCCAAGAAAAGGCATGCAGTGTCCTTAAATGACTACAATAGCTGACTTCAATAATCATGGAGTGCTTCAAGAGGCTGGTCATGGCCCACATCAACTCCAGTCGCCCAACCTGCCTCGATCCCCTACAGTTTGCCTACCAACATAACGGGTCCAGAGGTCCTAGCCTTGCACTCATCCCTGGAATATCTGGACAAAAGACACCTATGTCAGACTCCTGCTCATTGACTACAGGTCCGCCTTCAACACCACATCCCCGAGACTGATCTCAAAACTGCGTGACCTTTGTTTCAGCTCTGCTCTCTGCAACCGGATCCTCAGCTTTCTGACCCATAGGCCACAATCAGTGAGGATAGGTAACTGCACCTCCTCCACTATAATCCTCAAAACTGGAGCCCCCCCAAGGATGCATCCTCAGCCCCCTATTGGACTCCCTGTACACCTATCACTGTGTTGCCAAATTCTGAATGAACACCATCTACAAGTTCGCTGATGACACCACCACAGTGGTACGGATATCTAACTATGACGAGTCAAAATACAGAAGGGATTTGGTGGGGCTTGATGACATGGTGCAATGAAAGCAAAGACATACAAACCTCAACGTTGGCAAAATTTAAAAAAAAAAATCCACTTCAGGAAGAAAGGAGGAGAACATGCTCATCTACATCAACTGAACAGAGGTCGAAAGAGCGAAGAGCACGAAGTTTCTTGGAGTGACGATAACTGATGACCTGTCCTGGACTTCCCACGTAGATGGGACAGTCAGAGTGGCACAACAACATCTCTTCTTCCTCAGGCGGCTCAGAAAATTTGGCATGTCCATAAGGTCTCTCACCAACTTTTACAGATGCACCTTTGAAAGCATACTGTCCGGGTGCATAATGACCTGGTATGGCAACTGCTCTGCCCAGGACCACAAGAAACTACAGAAGGCGGTGTGCACATCCCAGACCATCATGGAAACCAACCTTCCATCCATGGACTCTACTTACATGGCTTGCTGCTGTGGGAAGGCAGCCAGCATCAAAAATCCATCACACCCTAGTAACTATTCACTACAACCTCTTCCATCAGGCAGAAGATAGAGAAGCCTGAACACACACACAAGCAGGTTCAGGAACAGCTTCTTTCCAGCCTTTATCAGATTGTTGAATGGATTCTAGGCTCAAATAATGTAACCTGTATGCCTCCAAGTCTTTTTGATCTGTACATCCTTTGCTTGCTGTGATCTGCCCATACTGCTCGTAAACAAAGCTTTTCACTGTATTTCGGTACACGTGACAATAAAAAAAAAATCAAAAGGAGGGCAAGTTTCATTCAAAAAGACAACAATGAACCAATTCAGTTTTTGACTACAGTCTGAAGGATTCATGTTAATTTTACTAAAATCATTTCCAGATTATGAAAAAAAAATCAAAACTCTCAACATGCCATGATGGATTTTGAATCACCGTTCTTGGTTTATTACTCCAGATCTCTGAAGGGGTGGAGGGACATGAAGAGAATTCTGATGAAGGGTCACTGACCCAAAATGCTAACTTTGTTCCCCTCTCCTTTGATACTGCCAGACCTGCTGAGTACTTGCAGTATATTTTTGGTTTTAAAAACAGATTTGGAGTATTCCGACTTCTGTCTATCTGTACGTATGATAGCCGAGGGATATATATTGGACTTTCAAATCATCATCGGTGGTCCCTCGCAGATGAGGGAGACTTTCACTTTCAGGGGAGAGTCTGTAGGTGGCTGTAAGACCACTACAGCACCGCAGGCTCGGTTACACTTGGGGTAGGTGAGGCATGGATTTTCAAATAAGGTCTTGCAAGTCCACCTGAAAGGGCAGATGGGGCCTCAACTCGATGCTTCATCTGAAAAATGACACCTCTGACAGTGCAGCACTCCTTGACGAGTCTACTGTTAAATTTCAATGCACTGCCTTGTGACTTGGAGGCAAGTGCGAGAACCAGAAGTTTGCAGGAGGAAGAAAGAAAAATGTTGGATGAAACAGATACACAACAGAAAATGGAAAAACAGGAGAGAAACACAGAAGATTGTCACATCTTACCTGTTCTTACAGTAGAGAAGAAAAGCAGACATAACAGACAAAGGATTGGAGCCGCCACCACCTGATTCACTGCTCCCGAGTGGATCTTCTTATCCAGTTTGGCAGGCAGGTAGGCATAGTACAGGTTGTAGCGATCCACCAAATGCTTCAAAAGCATGTACATCAAACCTAATAACAGAACCTGGTTTAGAAAAGTCTTAAAGAAATAAAGCAAAAATATGCAGACAGTAAACAACTTGCCGAGGTTTTTCTCGGTTGGTTTTGAGGAGCCTTTTGACGGCAGGGTTTAAGAGATACAACATGATGTTAGAGAGGCAAGTTGCTGCTCGCAACAGAGTTATGGGGTGTAGGACCATGATAGCTGAAGGCAATGGTGAGGCAAGGAGAAGAATTCCTCAGAGCAGAATCAAAGCAAAGAAAAAAAAAACAGTATTTAGTATCTTTCATGACTTTAGCATAGCACAAGCTCTTTATAATCAAAATGGTATTTTTGAAGTGTAGTCACAGTTGTCACTGACCAGAAATGGAACTGGACTAGCTACATGGTTACAAGGGCAGGTCAGAGGCTGGAAATCCTGCAGCAAGTAATTAATCTCCTGACTCCCCAAAGCCTGCCATCATCTACAAAATACAAGTCAGGTGTCAGACGGTGTAAACAGAGCATGCCAATTAAAAACTGGGGAGAATATCTTTCTTATCATCACATGTAAGAGAATTCCAAGAAGAAATAGACCATTGCTGTGGGGAGAAAGGAGTAAAGGCCACAGTCAAGCATCTTGAATAGAATCCATGATATAAATGGAAGATTTGTGGTTTGATCTGCCAACTACTCTGTTAACCGAGAGGATGTACACCTTGAACCCATATATCAATGCTTAGGTGAGAAAGCCACCAGCTGAACTCAGCTGGAACAATGTGCAACTGGACTTGACAAAAATAATGCAGAATTTATTCTTCCATTCGGTCCTAAAAATAGTTTTTCCAGACTTGAATACAGAAGAATAAAAAGTAATTTTTGACACTAGAGTTTCAAAAGGGTTGCCATGTTGGAGAGCTACCAATGACGTAAAATTGTGCTAGTCAGGGCCTGCAGAACAGGTGGTATAAAAATGAGTTCATAAAAATGGATGTCTCCCATTTAATGAAGATGATTTTGTTCTGAGGGTAATGTATTGGTGGAATCCTTCACTGTTAGAGGGCTGTTTTGGCTAGGTCATTACGTATATTCAAGACTGTATCAGACATACTTTTGAAATCAGTGAGGCAATCAAGGGCTATTGGAATAAGGCAGGAAAGTAGAGTGAGAATTATCCGCTCAGCCACGATCAAGTGGCAGAGCAGTCTAGACTGGCAGAATGACCTACTTCTGCTCCTATGTTTTATAGTTTAAAGTGTTCCTTTCAGTGTTGGACTAAGCCAGTTAACCATCCAAGCTTGTGGTTACTCAGCCTTCTTGTCTCCTATATTACGCTGCAAGGAAATGGAACTAACATGTTGTCGAGGGTTTAATTCCCATATCTGCTGATGTCACCATGAAGGTCCCACCTTGTCAACCTTACCCATTGCCGGAGACATGGTGAGCCTCAGGCTTAACTCACAACCAGTTGTCTGTCCAGCGGGAGAGCAGCCCTTTGGTCCAAGTACTATGGTGACTTGAGGTATAGATCAATTTTGGCCAGATAGAATTGTGAAAAAGGTGCAAGGAGCTGGCACACCTATTCCTGCACCTATAGCTTATACATCATTAAAAATGATGCTGACAGTCTATCCTCTAATGTAATAGTTGTATAGGGCCACACAATAGAGGTTCAACATTGGCTAGAAGAGTGTGAAACAGAAAGACAGGCAGTACGTTTTAGGAATAAGCTTCTGCAACCAGATCAAAATTGAAACATTGAAAATGTAAGCTTGTTACTTGTCAACTGACAGACAAGTTTGTAATGGCTGTCTATACACACCTTAGTTAAAGCTAAGCATTTCCATGGATTTGTTTAAAGAGCTAAAGTTTACTTTTTTGGACTGTAATCAAAAGAGTTACAATCTAGAGGATCATTAAAAGAGGAGGACATTTTACAAACAGCTGAGTAGCGTCCCAATGTTATTGAACCATAGCTGGAGTGATATATAGTCCTAATCACTGCTGTCTAGAATACTGGTTTGAAAATTGATTGCGGTTCTCAAATTGCCCGAGTGACACTGTATTTGGAATGTATTTGTGTTAAAAATGGTTCAGAATTACTCTGTGGTTCAGAAGTACTCTCTTTGAGATTAGGTATCCATTGGGATTTCAGTGACCTAAAAAGTCATCAGGAAGTTATTCTCAAAAGTTAATAATGCTCATAGAGTAGCATGAGATGGGCTGGATGGGCTTCAAAGTTTATACCTCCTATGGAACAGTTGCACACCTTCCTTACAATAAGCTGTTAATACTCTTTATAGGAAGCTGACAGTTCACTGCTCATATTTGACTGTTAAACAGCTGACAACCAAAAGTAACAAAAAGATTTAAAATGGACTAACATTTATCTAGCTAAACAATGGCCATTCTGGCGTACAGATTCATGTTTAACCTTCAATAGTTAGAAATATTTTCCACTTTCAGGGTTTTATAAAATTAACCCCAGCTTAGTGGTAGTAATCCTATACCAGAGGATTTCAAATTTAATCCCAAATGGGAAATATTAAGCAAAACTTACTGTGCAAACAGGCTGTCGTGTTTATTCACAAAATAAATAACTACACAGAAGTATTTCATTAATTTTGAAGTACTTTGATGTTCTCAGAACAAACAAGTGCCATACAAAAATTCAATGGAAGAAATCTGACTTTTTTATACTTTTAATTTGCAACATTAATGGAATCACTGCTTCACATTGCAAACAATCCTTTGAAAATAGAAAAATATGGAGAAGGGAAAACAGCTTTTCTAAAAACAAAGTAAATTTGAAAACAAAATGGGGTCCTACTCTTTCAACTTGGCTATTTTCAATGATCTGAACGACCTGACAAGAAACAAGGACAGAAAGAGATACAGTAGTCACGCTAACAGATGGCTCTTTTGAAACAATGACAGATCTGAGTTATACTGCATCTTCAGCAGTTAAACAAAATCACCAGCTGTATACCGCTTATTCAACACAGCGGGAGAACCAGCACAAGTTAATGATTTTGCATTGGCAAGGTCAGCCTAGTTTAAGGTATTGGAGCCATGGCCTGATGCGTGTCTGAGGGGATGGGCTTAGGGCAACTCAGGGTTTGGTGGCTAATTTGTTATTTGCAATCTCCGAATTGTTTGAGGCACTTGGTGCTGGTTCATTATTTATTATAACCCAACTGCCCCATCCTCTCTCACCCAACTTTCAATCCAGCATACCCGCCAGGGGCTAAACTTGCTATTTCCCTCCTGTCCAATTTCCTCACATTGACCATGGAGGCTCCACCACTGGATCAGCTCTAACCGTCTCTTTATGCGTTTCCTTCCAGAATGTCTGTTTACTTGTCAACAATGCCCTGGTTATCTGTTGTCCTCTTATAACGCTTGCATTGACATTGTGACATTAATGGAAACCTGGCTGAGGGAGTCTATAATGAAACATTCGAGTGGTTACATGTTCCATCCCGAATTCTTTTGAAGACTGCTGTGGTGGCAATGTGGTGCCTATCACCAAATCACACTTTGGCCTCACCACCTACTGACCATTTCATTAGTAATGAAATTGGCAAATGGTAAGTTGGTCTTCGTAGCAAGAGGATTTAAATATAAGAGCAGGGATGTCTTGCTGCATTTGTACAGGGCCTTGGTGAGACCACACCTGCAGAAATGCCCAGTTTTGGTCTCCTTATCTGACGAAGTATGGCTATTGAGGAACTGAGATTAGGACAGATTATAAAGAGAGATGTCTTCACCCAGAGAGTAATGAGCCTGTGGAATTTGCTACCAAATACGAGACCAAAACACAGAGTTCAAGGAGAAGCTGGATATAGCACTTGGGAGCTAAAGGGATCAAAGGATATGGGGCGGGGTGGTGGTTGGGAACAGGCTATTGAGTTGGATGATCAGCCACGATCATAATGAATGGCACAGCAGGCTCAAAATCAGCCGAATGGCCTTCTCCAGCTCTTATTTTCTATGTATCCGTGAATGCCTGCCCTGGTAGGAATCTGGCTTTTTATCTACAACAGTGCCAAGCATAGTGCTGTTGGTTATTTTACCAATCTTCTGTGCATCAGGTCACGTGTGTGGGGCTATTGCACTTCACTTCTCATTGGTACAAATAATTGGGCCCTGGTATTGAAAGGTTGGACAGTCCTAATATAGTGCAGTAATCTCCCACGGTGGTTTAGGCTATAGAACCAAACTGTTAAATTAAAATTTAATCAGAATTTAAAACAATGAGAAATTTATAATATTCAAAGTAGTTCCTAATTTTAGATTAAAGTTCAGAATACCCTCTGTCTCTTCTGTTTATTATCATACTGGTTAGTTTTCATCCACCATTATTAGAAAAGGCAGGGTCTTTACCCATTAAGGGGAAAGTAATTTCAATATTCTCGGAATGAGGATTTTAATTTCAGAAAGACTGCGATGTTTAGTCAGCCAACCAATAGAAAATTTTTATTCCATTCTCAAATATTTTTCTCATCGCCTGCCAGGAAGGTGGCAGCATTCCAATATCTTTCCATAAGTGGTCACTCTTCAAATATCAGCAACAACTCCCTTGCTGACATTTGTCAAACGGAACGCATCAGTCTTGGACACGATCCTCTCCATGCCTGCTCATTTCCTAGAAAGGGGTTCACTGAAAAGCGGAGGGAAAACTGCCCAGCTATTTGTACCCTAATCCAGGAGTTTTGAGACAAGCTGCCAATCCCGAGAGTAACCTGGGCTGAGGCCTGCTTCAACAGAAGTAACGTCTGGCATCTTCCTCATCTTTATGACTCAGATTAGGTATTGCACATAACCACAAAGCCTTCATGGGAGCTCTATGTTAACCATATCACAAAAAAAATCAATTATACAAGGATAACATTTGCTCTCATTTAATTAAAAAGAGCATCAATGCACTGTAACCAATACATTTACTATGGCTCATTTTTCACTTCAAAGGATGTTATGATTAGCTGTAAACTAATAACTAAAAGTAATTTAATTTACTGTTATACATGATGTAAAACAAATAACCATGGAAAACAGTAAAGGGCCATTATGTTGTGTCATACATAAACTGCTTTACTGCACTAAGATTTTAAATTTCCAGGAGAGGTCACTGTTGCTTTATTTGAAAATAAATACTGTATTTAGCTGAAAATGCTCATCAGGATTACTCTAACACAAGGGAAAGAGCACCCAGATACATTGCTATCTATTCCTGATATTTGTTATTTCGTAGCTGCATTAAAATATGAACAATATTTTTCATATTTTCTGAGAACTCAGCTATTGGAAAGCATCTCTGATAAAATCAACCCCCTAAAATAGGGCGGGGGGAGTTGGTGGGAAAGGCACTGCATTGGAAATAATCCATCCACCAAAAAAGTGAGAGGGGCACTAAAGCTGGAATAATCCACTATAAAATAGGGAGTGATGTCACATCTGGGATAACCCACTGAAGAGATGGGGCTGTTATATCTTGGTTAATTCAGCATTTATTACAGATGGGGCTGCACATCTTGGATACATCAACCCCATTTAACATGTGACCAAGTCAATACTCACCAAATGGGACTATAATGGGACATGTGATGCTGTAGGTCATGACAACAGTGAAGACGCACATCATCCACCCATAGGCAGCTCCAAACTGAAACTCATATGCTTGATGCTAGAAAGTGAAAATGCAACCCAGAGACACAAGTCAAAATAAACTACAAATCTCAGCAGGAACATTTGCTGATAACAAACTTAAGGGAATAGTTTGATGTTGGAAAGAGGCTGGAAAATCAAAAAGGCATTAATAAAGGGGAGGCTTTATTTTTTATCACTTCTGCATGTATACACCTTAATTCAGCTGGCTCACAACATTGTTCATATGCTTGGAGCTCAATATCAACATTATTTCACATTAAAAAGCAAATTAGAATGAGAACATTCTAACTGTATTAGGTTATATTTGATCTTTCACATCTAGAACCTTGGCTCAGTTACAGTGAGTTAGGGTTTATGCTCTTGGTTACCTCAAAAGGATCTGAACAAGCACAAATAGTTCAAGCTGCATTATGTAACCATCTGAAATGGAAATATAAAAATATCACTATGACAAGTATGGGGAATTCTTGAGTCAGAAACAGGCTGCTCAGATAAAAATAAAATAAAAATTTCTATAAATCATTGGCATTGCTGACACTAGTGCTGGATGCCTGAAGTTGAAACATGTCAATTACTATTATCCTTCAAAAGCTGGTAAGCAACTCAGTGGAAATTCAGGAGTTTAAATATTACATTGCAGTTCTTTCAGACAGTGCTTTGCAATAGCTTTTAATAAAATATGGAGTGAATGTGAGCTGAAACACCTGGTTGTGTTTAAAATGCACTTTCCGTTTCCTATTTCAGACATGAGCATGGACTTGGAGAATATGGTTCAGCAGAGGAAGTCAAAAGCACTAGTCAAGAGCTCAGTGTGATAGAGTAGCTGTTATCATGCAACAGGAAACAAATGGGTTAAAAGGATAGACTTTCAAACCGCGATTCATGGATTATGCAGAAGGGCTGGGTATGGGGAGTGAGATTCTGAGAGGAAAATTCAAGGGTTTTGTTAATCTAATTTCGGGTGTCAATTTCTATCCTTCACTATTTGTTTTAAGGTGGTCCAGCACAGAAAAAATTTGAAAAATGAGTGACACATTGTTGTAGTGAGGGGGAAAATAGAAAATTCTGATTGTATCTAACACATTCCATTCCTGATCCCAATATATTCAATGTATAAAAGTGTTGCATTCCTAATGTAATATAAATGGAACAAGACAGCATTAAGCAGCTCTTCAAAAAATAAACTTTCAGGAAGAGCTGTACAGAACCTATTCAGTGCCATTGAGTGTAAAGAACAGCATGAGAGTTATTCTTATATTAGTCCAAGATAACTAACTTTGTAGAGTTACACTGCATTTGAGTTACTGCAAATTGTTTAATATGACCAATTACTGTTCACAGTCATCACTTTACCTGTTTCTGCCTCTTCCAACTTTTTTCTCAAGTTCAAAAATACTTCCAAATATCTATTTTCCCCTTACTCTCACCTGTTCTCAACTTTTCCTCCATTTTACTTAACTTTTCTCTTTGCCTCTCTTTCACTTTCATTTCTTGTTTGCTTTCCATTTCCTTCCTTCCTCACTTCCTAGGGATGACAAACAATGAACATGATAAAGGTAATAGCAAGGGCATTTTGGGGTCCCTGAATGGATTGAGCGCGCAAATCTAAACCACAATCGCTAGACAACAGTCAGAATCTTAATGTAGGCAGACTACAGAAAATCTAGTTCTGAGGAAGGCTCACTGGACCCTGAACGTTAACTTTGTTTTCTCCTTCTCAGATGCTGCCAGAACTGCTGAGCTTTTCCAGCAACTTTGTTTTTGTACAGAAAATCAGATTTAGCTTCTATTTGAGACTTTGGGCAGTAAAAGTCATCATTTGATCAAGTAAAACACAGCATTTGGATTGACTCTACATTAACTCAGAAAATGGCTAGTCAAATGTTTATTAATGTTATTTGGTTAATTCTTTTGACTTTTTTTAAAAAAAGCCTGGTCAATGCTTGTTTTAGAATTCAAATTACCAGGCATGCTCTGACACACCCATGAAGGAATGGGAAAGGTAACATGAGTGACTCATCCCTGTAAGCTCTGCTCTCATGAGCTCATTAGTCCTAGTGTCCTTTACAGCAGAACAGTTATCAGGAATAAGAACCAAATCAACACTGAACTCCACTTACCAATAGGGCAATTAGGTAAAATTGAGGCAATATGAATCTTGCCCCAGCCAATATCAGCTAATTCAGTCTGGAATTAGCGAACCAGCTTCAAAAGACTCAAAATAGACAATGCTAGCTCTCTCTCAACAAATGCTGTCAGATAAGTGAGTTTCTCCAGCATTGTTTTATTTCAGAAAATTTTCTAGTGCATGGAATATTCAGCTAAAACCTTGGGTTTACAATGCAAGCTTCAGAACTCCCACTTTAAACTGGAGAACAGAGTTGACGTTTGAAGCCTAAGTGCATTTGCAATGGACTTTCACATATGTTCAGCACCAGCTCTCAGATGTACAGCACTTTGTTTCAGCAGTGTTAGTTCCATATCTGTTACCAAACTAGTTAACCTACATGGATTCTAAAGCAGCTTCCGTAAGTTGTCACGACAAATCTCTAACAAATGGGCAACCTCAAAAGTAGATATTAAGAATGCATACGCATGGCACGAAGGTCATTCAAAAGATTTGACCCAAGGAGACTTAGTAATCTCAGGCAGATGCAATAATTTGAGAATAAAGAAAAAAGTCCCCCCCCAAAAAAAAACACAACTTGGGTTCATTTTTCCTTGCCTAGCTGAATGGTGTCATTATGATTAAATAATTAAAATCAAGCAGATGAGCATATGGGGAACATCACGTTTGCCCAATATACATTCCCATTTGAGGGGAGTGTGCATCACAAGTCCAGAGCTTAGCTCCAAACTTGCAAAGACCCAAACACAACGGTGTGTAAAGGGATGACTAGAAATCAAATCAGCTAAAATAATGCAGCTCACCAAACTTCCTGCTGCCTGTCCAGTCAGGACTCAATTGACCCATTAGGTCTGCAAGTTATCTAGAGACTCACGCAATGAATTCCAGCCTCCAGGTATTCATTTACAGCCTTACTGAGTGTATGATGTGCCTGTGTGTTGGAGATTGTGGAGGAGAGTCACATAGGAGGAGAGTTGAGATACAATTTCTAAAAATTTTCAAAAAGTTGGAACCTCGGTAGCACCTGGCTTGGTACACTGGGGAATGGTGGCTTAGTGGTAACATTATTGTACTAGCAGAGACCCAGGGTAACGATCTTGGGACATTGTTTCAAATCCCACAATGCCAGCAAATGGAATTTAAATTCAAATAATAAATTAGCAACCTCAGCAAGTGACTGTGACAATCACCATCAACTGTCGTATCTGGTTTACTAACTTCCTGTAGGGAAGGAAATTTAACATCTTGGCCTAGTTCTGGTCTACATCACTCCAGACCCAAACTCAACTTATCTCTGCAAAAGCCATTCAGTTGAAGGGACCTTAGTGATGAGCAATAAATACTGGCCTCATTAGAGACAACCGCATTACATAAAAAAAAACAAGGAGCAAGATAGATCAAAGACACCTACACGTTTGACGTTTTTCCTCTCTGCTGCTGACTTGGCTAAGGAGAGACGGATCATGTACATTAACAGGCCTGGAATGCGCAGCAGATCCATGGCATTCCCAATGAACGCAGAAGCAATCACATAATTTACGAAGAAAGCGCCATTATCAGGAAGAAAGACGCACCTGAAAGAGAAAAGTCCAAACGGAGGAAGAAGAGGGTTATACAAAGATGATGAACGGCTCTTCTGATATGAAAGTAAACATCTACACCCAAAACATTAGTTCGTTCCTTTGAACTCGAACCCTGCAGATTAGGTGAAATAGATCAAAAGAATGAAGTAAGGTTCATGTAAAATGTAGAAATTACTCATTTGTTCCTAATTCACTAGGTCAGGGATATACCTAACTTTAATGGGTAACATCTAAGATTAATGGTCATGAATCTCCGACTTAGTCACTTAAACAACTCCGTAATTCAATGCTGACTAATAAAATCCAAAGAGTCAATTCAAATTCTCAGCTGCAATTTGCTACAGCTTTGACAAAATAAACTTTCAGAAAGCCATTGGCATACTGAACAAGGACATAAAATTGTAACATATGATCAGCTCTTACGAAAAAAACTCTAAACACTGGCTATCAATTTGTAGGAATGCATTAAATGGCAGTTACTTAAAAAATGTTACTCTTCTCTTATAAAACCTGAGCCAATAATGTTACTGCCCGTATTGTGGGATTGGCTGGGTTACAATTGGAGGACAATATCTGCTCAGTATTGAGAATTTCTGCCATAGGTCTCCACGTGACTAAACAAGTCTATTCTTGACCTGCAGATTTTTTGGCACATGGAGTAGGATGTCCTACAAGGTAATGGGACCTGAAATGCAGGATTTGCTTCCTTTTCTTCTCTGCTACTGCCTGCCTCATTAAACACTGCGGCTCAAAAGCATTATGTACATTAAGAGCAAGACATCAAAATTTTGAACAACTGGCAGTAAACTCCTTCCAGTCATTGTAACAATACTGCTGTGCTTCATTGAAGAGTTTCATAAGAACACAAGAAGTAGAAGCAGGAAAACGCCAATTTAGTCTCTCAAAGCCTGTCATTACTGTTGTGCCCAGACTGCAAATCCTCTTTTGTGCCAGCCCGAAGCTCTTAACTCTCCATCATTTACAAGACCATTGGTGCAAAGTTAGGCCATTCAGCCCATTGAATCTGCTCCATTTCATCATGGCTGATAGGTTTCTCAACCCCATTCTCCTGCCTTCTCCCTGTAACCCTTGATCCCCTTAGCAATCAAGAACCTATCTCACTCTTAAATACACTCAATGACTTTGCCTTCACAGTCCTATGCTACAATGAATTCTACATATTCACCACCATCTGGCTGAAGAAATTCCTCCCATTCTCAGCTCTGAACGGCCGTCCCTTCACTGTGAGTCTGTCCTCTCGGTTCCTAGTCTCTCCTGCTATATCCATTCTACCCAGGCCTCTTAGTATTCTGTAAGTTTCAATCAGATACCCTCCTCATCCTTCTAAACTCAGAGTACAGACCCAGAGTTCAACTGTTCCTTATACAACAAGCCTTTCATCTTGCAATTATTGTTGTAAACCCCCTCTGGACTTTCTCCAATGCCAGAATATCCTTCCTTAGATACAGGACTAAAACTGCTCATGTATTCCAAATGCGGCCTGCCAGAACCTCAGTCCCAGCAGCAAGTCCCTGCTCTTATATTCTAGCCCTCTTGAAATGAACAGTAACATTGCATTTGCCTTCTTAACTGGCAATCAAGCCTGCATGTTAACCTTAAGAGAATCCTGAACTAGGACTCCCAAGTCGCTTTGTGCTTCAGATTTTTGAAGCCTTTCCCTGTTTAGAAAATAATCTATGCCTCTATTTTTCCTACCAAAGTGCATAACCTCACTGTATTCCACCTGCCACTTCTTTGCTCACTCTCTTAGCCTGTCCAAATCCTTCTGCAGCCTTCCCACTTAAATCAACATTACTTGTCATTGATATCTGTAAAACAGATGTCTAACTAGTTGTAAAATTCTGCTTTGATCATAAATCTGAGAAAAGCCATAACATTTTGATTAGCTTTATTAACTAAATGCAATTATGTTACTAACATAATCATTTAATGGTTAAAATGGAGAAGAATTTTAGGCACATTAAAGCTCAATGGAACATGCAATATATGTAAAGACAACATATTCATCTCTTCAGGGAAGGGTTTGGAGTTCCATGCTTTATAACTGCTGCATCTAGAGTTACATGAGAGTTGCAGGTGCACAAAAACTAAAGGCAATACAGAAACTATGTTTGAAAGTTTTCTTATACTTGAGTCTGTAAGCACCATTCGGTCAAATGGGCAGCTGCTCATTTGGACAGCTGCTATATGTGCCAGAGAAAGATAAAATGCATTAAAAGATCAAGGAGGAAGGGAGAAAGGCCAACAATGCCCCTAAATAGAGAACTTTGTAACCTTAATATTTCCAAGGTGCTGAAAAATACAAAATTATTTCAATTGCATTAGCACACCAGACAGCTTACTCAAAACATCTTTGGAAAACAGACTTCTTGGAAATGATATAAACACCGAAATGGCTAGAAATACCCAGGTCAAGGAGCATCTGTGGAGACAGGAAGAGGATTAACTTTTTTAAATGAAAGTTTATCCATCCAAAATGTTAATTCTGTTGCGTTGTCCACAAATGCTGCCAGCCCTATTGAGTGTTTCCATCATTTTTGATTTCAGATTTCTAGCATCCACAATATTTTGCCTTTGCCCTGTATCTATTTCAGAATGCACTTTTAGTCAATTGAAATTTAGCTATCATGCTTTTAAATAATAATTACATAATATCTACATTTCAGTTCACATCCTCGATAAAAGGTTCCCACTCTTAACATCTAGAGATGATGGCTCTTCCTGATTTTCACACTCATCTAAGATGTGCTGTTTAATTCTACATGCAGACCATCATAAAGAGGTCCTCTGATTCTGCATTCCCTTATTTCCCAAATTCCCTACTTGCATCTGTGCATGCAACAAAGAACGCCTTAATAAAAAGAGGTATCAATTGGGTACTCACTCAAATCGAACTGTAGCTTCTTCCAGAAATTTCTTGTCAAATAGCCAACGGAAAAACAGGTCCAGACTGGAACAGAAATAAGCCCCATTTGAGAGAGATATAGCTTTCGATATAGAATCATAGAATGGTTAAAGCATAGAGTGCAACTATTTGATCTGTCATGTCTGTGCTGGCTCTTTGAGGTGGAGTTTTAAAATTCATTCATGGAATGTGGGTGTCACTGACACATTTAATGCTGTATCTAGTTGCCCTTGAGAAGATGGTGGTGAGCTGCCTTCTTGAACTATTGCAGTCCAGTTGGTTGAGGGAGGCCAAGATGCCATTGGAGGGAGTTCCAGGATTTTAACCTAGTGACATCGAATTTACCTACAATCACTCACCACTTTTGCCTCATTGCATTGTACATTCTTCCTTTTCAGACAGTATGGTAATCCATTTACCCCTTGAATACCTCATTTGAAACATCACATTCTGGCAGTGAATTTCAGATTCTAATCACTTGCTGCATGAAAGATTTTCATGTTGTCATTGCTTCTTTTGTTAGTTATTTTTAATCCGTGCCTTCTGGCTCTTGACCCTTTTACCAGTGGAAAAAGTATCTCCGTATCTACCCTGTCCAGACATGATTAAGTGCATCATTTATATCTTCTCCAACGCTTCTCCAAGGAAAGCAAGTCCAATTTCTCCAATTTATCTTTGTAACTGAAGTCCTTTACTTCAAGAACATTATCATAATTCTAATCTGCATCCTTTTTAACACCTTCACAAGCTTCATGAGGCGAGGTGCCCGGAACTGGATGCAATACTCCAATTGAGGTTGAACTGAGGTATTTCATACATGCTCAACATGGGTTCCTTGCTTTCATACTCTATACCGATCCAGGATGCTCTATGCTTTTGTTTTTAAAAAGAAAACAAACATTCTTATCTTGCCCTGCCACCTTCAATAACTTATGCAAGTACAGACCTTGGTTCTTCTATCCTTTAAATTTTAATCTTTTATTTCATATCGTGTCTCTGCATCCTTTCTGCCGAAATGAATAATTTCACCTGCCACTTGCCTAACCATTCCACCAACCTTTGCCCTTTTGAAGTGAGATAGCAGCCAGTGACTAATGGAGACCCACAGGGGTCAGTATTGTCAACACAGCTATTCATGTTATTCATTAATGATCTGGATAAAGGAACTGAGAGCATTGTTGCTAAGTTTGCAGATAAAACAAGGATAGATGGAGGGACAGGTAGTGTTGAGGAAGCAGGAGGTTGCAGAAGAGCTTGGAAAGTCTAGGGGTGTGAGGAAAGTAGTGGCAGATGGAATATAAATGTGGGAAAGTGTGACATTATGCACTTTGGTAGGAAGAATACGTGTAGATTATTTTCTGAACAGGGAAAGACTATGGAAATCTGAAACAAAAAGACTTGGGAGTCCTACTTCAGGACTCTCAAGGTTAACATGCAGGTTTAGTTGTCAGTTAGGAAGGCAAATGCAATATTAGCATCCATTCTGAGAAAGCAAAAATACAAGAGCAGGATGTACTGCTGAGGCTGTATAAGGCTCCGGTCAGACCATATTTGGAATACTGAGAGCAATTTTGGGCCCAGTATTGGAGGAAGGATGTGCTGGTGGTGGAGGGGATCCAGAGAAGATTTACAAGAATGATCCTGGGGATGAAGGGCTTGGCATATGAGCAGGTCTATACTCGATGGAGTTTAAAAGGATGATGGGGGATGTCACTGAAACTTACAGAATACTGGGAGGCCTGATAGAGTGGATGTGGAGAAGCTGTTTTCACTAGGAGAGACTAGAGCCTGAGGGCTTGGCCTCCAAGTAAACGGATGATCCTTTAGAACAGAGGAGGAAATTTTTTCATTCAGACGGTGAAGTAGCTATGGAACTCATTGCCATACAAGGCTGTTGAGGCAAAGTCATCAAGTGTATTTAAGACAGATAAATAGGTTCTTGATTAGTTAGAGGATCAATGGTTACAGAGTGAAGGTGGGAGAATGGAATTGAGAAACACATCAGCCATAATGGAATGGCAAAGTAGACTCAATAGGCTAAATGGCCTAATTCTGCTCCTATATTTTATGGACTTGAGAATTATCTTCTTTAGAGTTCACATTGCATCCAAGTTTTGCACTACCTACAAATTTTGAAATTGTACCCTGTATGCCCCAGGCTAGGTCATTAATACCTCAGGAAGTGCAGCATTCCTAACACTGATCCCAGAGGAACTCCACAACAAATATCAGTGGCTACAAATGTCCCTGCCCCTGGCCATGGTCAAGCCCCTGTTGTGAGACATTTGAACAGGTTGATTCAAAATATCTATCCTTGTTGTAGGCTTTTGTGGTGCAGCGGTAATATCCCTACTTCTTAGTCAGGCGGCCTGGGTTCAAGTACCACCTGCTCCAGAGGTATGTAACAAGATCTCTGAACAGGCCAATTAGAAAATATGCAACATGTACAATCTGTTCCCATAAGACTATCCACCTATTGCAAGCATTACAATTTTTAATTCACTATGGGGTGGGGCATTTTTGGCTGGGCCAACATTTATTGCCCTAGGTGCCCATGAGAAGATGGTGAGCTGCCTTGTTGAACCACTGCAGTCCACGTACCAGGATTTTGACCCAACAACATTGAAGGAAAGGTGATGTGTTTCCAATTCAGGATGGTGAGTGGCTTTAAGGGAACTTAGAGCTGATGATCCTAAGCTTCCTTTACTCTTCTAGATGGAAATGGAAGGTGCTGTCATAGCAGCTTTGAATTTCTGCAGTGTATATTGTAGGTGATAGACACAGCTGTTACTGAGGTGGAGGAGGCAGTGGATGTTTGTGGGTTTGGTGCTAATTAAGCAAGCTGCTTTGACCTGGATGGTGTCAAGCTTGAGTTTACAGAGTTGCACTCATCCAGGGAAGTGGGGAGTATGTCATCACACTCCTGTCTTGTGCCAAGTAGGTGGCAGACAGGCTTTGCGGAGTCAGGTGGTGAGTTACCCGCCACAGTATTCCTGGACCAGCTCTGCTCTTGAAGCCATTGTACTTATATAGCTAGTCCAGTTCAGTTTCTGGTGAATGGTAACCTCAGAACATTGATAGTGGGGGAAATTCAGTGATAGCAATGCCATTAAATGTCAAGGGACAATAACTAGATCACCTTTTGTTGGAGATGGTCATTGCCTAGCATTTACTTAACGCAAGTATTACCTGCTACCTTTCAGCCCAAGCCTGGATATTTTGCAGGGTCTTGTTCCATTTGAACATTGACTGCTTCAGTATCTGAGGAGCCGCAAATGGTACCGAACCTCGTGCAATCATCAAACGTCCACACTTTTGACCGAACAATATAGAGGGAAGATCTTTGTTGAAGCAGCTTTGGTGATTGGGACTAGGACTAGGACTAGGACATTTTGTAAGCTTTGTCTGAATTTGAAGCATTCCTTAAATAAGCAGATTATTAGTGTGTACAGTGCACAGATACATTCTCACCAATGCTCTGTACAACCAAAGGTTAACATCCCTAATTTTGACTTCAATTCTCTTCATTATAAAAAGGACAATATTAGCTTTCCTAATTACTTGTTGTACCTGCGTACTGACCTTTACAAATTTATGCACTAGGACACCCAGATCCTTCAGCAAATCAGAGCTCAGCAATCTCAGTATTTAAATTTTACCTGTGCTATTCTTCCTGCCAAAGTGGGCAATTTACCATTTTCTCTCATTATATTTCATTCGTCATACCTTTGCCCAGTCACAGTCTATCTATATCCTTTTGAAGCCTCCTTATGCCCGCTTCACAACTTACTTTTCTATCTTTGTGTCCTCATCAAATTTGGCAACTACAGCTTCGTATCCTTTACCCAAATTACTGAATATTTTTTTAAAAAATGGATGTCCCATCATAGAACCACTTTTTACCTTTTAGCAACCAGAATATCTGGACATTACTGTCTATTCTCTGCTTTATGTTGGCTAGCCAATCTTCTATCCCTGCCAATGTTTCTCCTTGCACCATGAGTTTTTATTTTCTCCAATAACCCTTGATGTGACACCTTATCAACTGCCTTCTGCAAATTCAAGTATAGTACATCTTCCAGTTCCCTTTTGAGGGGGTAACATGCTATGGACAAAGAACTAAAATAAATTGGTCAAACATTATTTCTCTTTCTCAAAACCATGTCCAATGTGCGATTTCCTGGAATTTCTTCCAAGTTCCCTGCTGTAACATATTTAGCACTTTTCCCTATGACAGAAGTCAAGGTAGTTGGCCAACAGTTTCCAGTCTTCTGCTTCCCTTCCTTTTTAAATAAAAGGTATTACACTTGCTATTTTTCGATCTAACTAAGACTTCTCAAAGTCTGGGGAATTTTGGAAAATTAAAAGCAATGCATCAATCATCTCACTGGCCAGTTCTTTTAAGACAAGGAGATATTGCAGGACCCAGTGGCGTGTCGGCCCACCACTCCTTAATTTGTTCAGTGATTGCGGTTTTCCTCAGTTCCACTCTCCCTTTCACTATATTATACAGCTATTTATGTTACTTGTAAGCATTGGTGAAGATTGATGCAAAATACCTATTGAATGTATCTGCCATAAACTCCATTATTAATTTCCCAGACTCCGATCCTATAGGATCAACGCTGACATTGCTAACACCATTTGCACAAATGTTTAACATGCTTTCTTAATTCTAGTTAGCTATTTTTGTGTTTGCAACTTTTTCCTCCTTATTAATCTTGTCATTCTTTGTTAGTCTTCAATATTCTGAACAATCCTCTGACCTGCCACTCATCTTCGTGCAACTTTTTTTTCTTGTTACCCATGGATTGTGGGCCCTTCCCTTGAAATTTTTGATTCTTACTGGAATGGATCTATTGTGGATTCTGAAATGTGCTCTTTAATGTCTGCCGCTGCATCGCTGTTAACCTATCCCCTAACTTAGTTTGCCAGTTCACTTTAGACAGCTCTCCTTTCATGATCTAATTTAAGTTTAAAATACTAGCGTTGGACCCACTCTTTCTCTAACTCAAAATTTAAAAATAAAAAGTTTTAATTGCCACAACCTAGGGGTGCCTTCATTGAGATCATTAATTAATCCCATCTCAGCACCATACCAGATCTAGTGTAAAAACCGAAAGAACTGCAGATGCTGTAAATCAGGAACAAAAACAAAGTTGCTGGACAAGCTCAGCAGGTCTGGCAGCATCCGTGAAGGAAAAAACAGTTAACATTTCAGGTCCAGTGACCCTTCCTCAGAACTGCTGAAACGTTAACTGTTTTTTTCCTTCACAGATGCTGCCAGACCTGCTGAGCTTTTCCAACAACTTTGTTTTCGTTCCAGATCTAGTACAGCCTTCTCTTTGACTGACTCCAGAAAATGCTGATCCAAGAAACTATCCAGTAAACATTCTACGAATTCCACATCAGGTAACTAATTTCCCCAGTTACGTAGCCTGCTGTAATATTAGCAGCACAGTTCAGGTGCCAATTTTTCCAGCCACTACTTTCGCAGCGCTGGTGCTAGTACTCCAGGAACCGGAACCCTTTTATCCTACACCACTGAGACGTACATTCACTTCTCTAATCCTTTAGCCCTATGCCAATTTGCACATAGCTCAGGCAATTAAGATCCACGTTTGGAGGTTCTGCTGCTTAGATTTGGTTTTTAGCTCTCACGTAGTAGAGCAAGGAGCAATTCTGACAGAATGCAAAAAACGAAGTTAGAAAAAAGTGAAAAGAGCACTTCCTTTCCCTTATTTCCCCACTTCATTTACCCAAATCCCAGCACTTTGATCAAACTGACACTTGGTGTCAAGTTTCACCATGATACTTGCACTTGTATGCTAGGAAACAAAACAGCTGTGTCAGCCCTGGGTACAGGAGAGAACAGTTTAAAATCGGTTTCCTTAATTATCTAGCTTTAACTGCCTCCAGTGAAGAACTTGAGTGCCCTTGTTAAGCCTGGATATGATTTCAAATTTAAAATAGGGGGTTTCAGTTCAATGTTGAAAAGAAATTAAGACTTACTTGACTGGTCCAGCTTACACCACGAGTTCAAAGTCACAAAAGGGAGGCAATGGCCTAGCGGTATTATCATTAGGCTATTAATCTAGAGACCCAGATAAAGTTGCTGGGTTCAAATCCTGTCACAGCAGATGGTGGAATTTCAAATCAATAAGAGTCTGGAATTAAGAATCTAATGACAACATGAAACAACTGTCAGAAAAACATCTGGTTCATTAATGTTCTTTAGAGAAGGAACACGTGACCATGACCTGTTCTGGCCTGCGACTCCAGACCCAAAACAATGTGGTTGACTTCTAACTGGCCAATAAATGCTGGTGTCACTGGTGACACCTACACCCTGTGAATTAAAAAAATTATCACCCCTCTCCATTCTAAGACTAAAGAACACTGTTCCCACGTTGTCTATATTTTGTTAGTGTGTCTTAAGTTGCAGGAGTTTACAGCAATTCTTAAGTTATATTTTTCACACAAGAACCAACTCACCTGCTCAGACCCAGAGACGGAAGAATCAAAACCATGAAGATAAGGAAGGTATAGCATTTGTGCATCGTGGTTCGATTTTCCCCTGATCTGAAAAAGATACACGAGTGATTAGAACTTGCACAGAAATTTGTAAGCCTCTGTCATAGTATATTCGTCTCGATAAACTTGAGCACCACTGTACAATGGGGGCTCTGTATTATTGGAAATAGCCATCTTTTAAATAAGGTATTCCCCTAACCAACAGATGTTACCATTTGGTGATTGATAGAATTTCAAAAACAAAAAGGAGAGGTTTCCTGCTGACCTGGTTTATATTTACTTCTCAATGAATATCACTATTGGTTCATCTTTTAGAAATCAAGCTACTGTAATTGTGGGCACTTGATATGTACAAATTGTCTGCATTTTTGGTACAGTCCAACAGTGAAGATACTTGAAAAGAACGTTAGTGGCCGACAAGCGCTCAGCACATTCTGAAGTGCAAACGCAAAAGGGAAGTGTTTCAGTTCTCCCCTCTGACTAACTTGTGAACATCTATACTTTCCTATTATTCTCCTTGCTGTAACTAATGTGACCCAGCCCACTCTACATATATGTCTTTATTCAGCACACAATGCTCTTTGCTAGATGCTGCAATGAAAGGTAGGCCAAAGGATGACATTACGAGGGCTGACATAAGCCTGGTGGGTCTTAAGGACAGTCTAAATGAAGTATTTTCAGACGGGAATTCCAGAAGGTTGAGGGTATGACACGGTAACAGGGAATCACATGTCAGCACCAGAGGAATTGGTCAGTGGGAGGGAGAGACATTGTCAGGCTGGAGGAAAGCAGACATGGAGTTGAACAGGCCATGAAAGGAACGTGAAGATTAGACGGGGGAAGGGGGCCAACTAAGTGATAGTACATTCACTTCCCTTCTCCAAGTCAATATATATAGTAAACAATTGTGCCTTCAGTACTAATACCAGTGTCATTCCACCAGTCACAGGTTTCCATCTTGAGGCACTCCCATTATCCCAACACTGCTTTCCATTTAGTTAGCCGATCCTACATTAATGCTAAAATATAACGTTCAACATCATGAACTCAAGTTGTAACCTTTCACGCAGGATCTTATCAAGTGCCTTTTGGAAATCCAAATATATTACATCGATTGGCTCTAACCTGCATATTACCTCAAGAATTTTAATAAATTTGTAAGACATGAACTTCCCTGCATGAAACCATACTAATTCTGTTTGATTATAGTGTGCATTTCTAATCTTTCTCATGGCTACTTCTGCCAATTTCATTTTCCCAAACTGAGAAAACTAAAGCAACCCATGATTCATGAACTGTCTTGTTTCACTAGTTATTCTTTGACCTACAGTGTAGTGACTATTAGAGTCTATAGACGACTACCAATGTCTTCCTCCCATTATTTCTTACTTCCATTCATGCAGCTTCTATATTTTGCTATCCAAGCTAGTTTCTGGCCATCATAAAAAAGTGACTTCACTACCTTTTCCTCTTTTGTGCGTCCTTTCAAAAATGGAACATAACCCTGCATATTCAATTCCCATGATGTGGAGGTGCTGGTGCTTGACTGGGGTGGACAAAGTCAGAAGTCACACGATACCAGGGTTTAGTCTAACATGTTTATTTGAAATCCCAAGCTTGGAGTGTTCAAAGCTTGAGATTTCAAATAAACCTGTTGGGCCATATCCTGGTGTCATGTGACTTCTGACCTTATTTAGTTCCCAGCTTTGATCTCATTGGAACAATGTTTTCACAATGGCTATAAGATCATACGTATTAATTTGTATTTGTGCTAACGCATTTATTTTGTTCCAAATGCTACGTGGATGTAGGAGCCACTAATTTTGATTCTTTTGCCACTTCAGTCCCCTTGGATCCCATTTGCAGCTTTGTTTCGTGTTTGTACACTTGGTCTCTTCCGGTCTCACTGTGGGTATCATTACAAATGGAAGCAGAAGAGAAGTCAATGATTTGCTTGCACTTGTTGGAGGTGATCTTAGAGGGATAAAGGGTTTTTAAGGAAATGCTTGGTACAAGGGGAAAGTTGTCCAGAGTCTAAAGGTTGCCTAATAGGACTGTAATCAAATCATTCAAAAGGTATACATGTAGAACGATGGAAATCTAGACATCATTACATTTTTCCTTTTATAAGCCATCTATTTACAAACATTTTATTTGCTATTACCACTAGGACGAATTGCTAACTACTTAAGTGATTGTAAATTCATTTTTGTTTCTCCCTGTATAAAAACTTACCTCGTGCAGCAAGCGGCCCTCTTGTTTTCAGCTGCAGATGTGTGGAGGGAACGCGAGCCAGGAAGAAAGATAAATTCGGGCATTGGCTAAACCCGAAACACTACACGTGTAGTATCTCCCACCCGTCCTCCTCCTCTAACCAAAAAAAGACTGCGTGGAGGTTCGGTAAGGCAAGGCTTTTTTTTTATTATTCTTCTGGAAATCTAGAGTAGAGGGAATGGAAGCTAGGGCAGTTGCATGCTCTTCTTGCAGGATGTGGGAGGTAAGGGTCATTGCTGGTGTCCCCTCTGACTTCACCTGCGAGAAGTACACCCAACTCTAGCTCCTCAAAAACTGTGTTACAGAACTGGAACTGGAGCTGGAGCTGGATCTGGATGAACTCTGGATCATTCAGGAGGCTGAGGGGATGATAGAGAGGAGTTACAGGGAGGTGGTCACACCCAAGGTACAGGAAAAAGGTAGCTGGGTGACTGTCAGGAAGGGGAAAGGGAATAGGCAGACAGTGCAGGGATCCCCTGTGGCCATTCCCCTCAATAATAAGTATACTGTTTTGGATACAGTTGCAGGTTGAGGGGGGGGACCTACCAGGGGACGGCCATAGCGGACAGGTCTCTGGCACTGAGCCTGACCCTGTGGCACAGAAGGGAAGTGGGGAGAATAGAAGAGTAACTGTAGTGGGGGATTCAACAGTAAGAGGCACAGACAGGCAGTTCTGTGGACGCGAGCGAGACGAACAGATGGTATGTTGCCTCCCGGGTGCCAGGGTCCATGATGTCTCGGATCATATGTTCAAGATCCTTAAGGGGGAGGGTGAGCAACCAGCAGTCGTGGTACACATCGGTACCAATGACGTAAGGAGAAAGAGGACTGAGAATGTGAAAAACGAGTACAGGGAGTTAGGTTGGAAGCTGAAGTCCAGGACAAACAGGGTAGTTATCTCTGGATTACTACCAGTGCCACGTGATAACAAGGTAAGAAATAGGGAGAGAGTGCAGCTAAACACGTGGCTACAGGGCTGGTGTAGGAGGGAGGGCTTCCATTATGTGGATAGTTGCAGCACATTCTGTGGAAGGTGGGACCTGTACAGTAAGGACGGGTTGCACTTGAACCAGAAGGGCACAAATATCCTGGGAGGGAGGTTTGCTAGAGCTGTATGGGATGTTTTAAACTAGTTTGGCAGGGGGTGGGGAACCGGATTTATAATTCAGAGGATGAGGTATTTGGCCTTCCAACAGACACAACAGAGAGTGAGGTAGTTTATAAAGAAATGAGGTCGATGGAGCATAATTGCAGACACAGATGGTTTGAGGTGTGTATACTTCAATGCTAGAAGTATCAGAAATAAAGCGGATGAACTTAGAGCATGGGTCGGTACTTGGAACTACGATGTTGTGGCCATTACAGAAACTTGGGTAAATCAGGGAGAGGAATGGTTGTTGGAAGTTCTGGAATTTAGATGCTTTAAAAGAAACAGGGAGGGTGGAAAAAAAGGTGGGGGAGTGGCATTGCTAGTCAGGGTAAGTATAGCAGCTACTGAAAGGCAGTTTGAGAATGATCTGTCTACAGAGTCAGTTTGGGTTGAGGTCAGGAACAAGAAAGGAGCAGTCACTTTGTTGGGTTTTTTTTTTTTTTTTAAAAAGAACAGACCCCCTAATAGTTGCAGAGAAGTAGAGGAGCGGATTAGGAGACAGATACTGGAAAGGTGCAGAAGTCACAGGGTTGTAGTCATGGGTGACTTCAACTTTCCAAATATTGATTGGAAGCATTTTAGTTGTAATAGTTTAAATGGAGCAGATTTTGTCCAGTGCGTTCAGGAAGGATTCCTGACACAATATGTAAATAGACCAACATGAGGAGGCGCCACTTTGGATTTGGTGCTTGGCAACGAACCAGGCCAAGTGTCAGACCTGTTGGTAGGAGAGCATTTTGGCAGTAGCGATCATAACTCTTTCTTCCACGATAGTCATGGATAAGGATAGGTACATACGGCAGGGTAAAGTTTACAATTGGGGGAAGGGTAATTACAATTCAGTTAGGCAAGAACCGGGTAACATAAATTGGGAACAGATGCTGTCAAGGAAGAGCACCACAGAAATGTGGAGACTGTTTAAGGAATGCATACTGCATGTGCTCGATACGTTTGTCCCTAGCAGGCAGAGAAGATGCGGTCAAGTGAGGGAGCCATGGTTCTCGAGAGAGGTCAAACGACTGGTTAAGAGGAAGAAGGCGGCTTATGCAAGGTTTAGGAAAAGAGGAATGGAAAAGGCTCTAGAGGGATACAAGTTAGCCAGGAAGGAGCTGAAGAAAGGGCTTAGGAGAGCTACAAGGGGGCATGAGAAAACCTTGGCGGATAGGATCAAGGAAAACTCCAAGGCTTTTTACACGTATTTGCAGAACAAGAGAATGAGCAGAGAAAGGGTAGAGCCGATCAAGAATTGTAAAGGGAATTTGTGCACAGAGCCGAAAGAGATAGGAGAGGTCCTTAAATGAATACTTTTCTTCAGTATTCACAACTGAGAGGGACCTAGTTGTAGAGGAGGACGTTGTGAAACAGGCAGGTAGGCTAGAAGAGGTTGAGGTTAGTGAAGAAGATGTGCTAGGAATTCTGAGCAAGTTGAAGATAGACAAGTCCCCTGGGTCTGATGGAATTTATCCAAGGATTCTGTGGGAAGCGAGGGAAGAGATCGCAGGGCCTTTGGCGATGATCTTTTCATCCTCACTGTCCATGGGTATAGTGCCAGAAGATTGGAAAGAGGCAAATGTCATTCCCTTGTTCAAAAAAAGGGAACAGGGATAACCCCGGAAATTACAGG